TTAAGCTACAGAAACAGAGTTTTGACAGCATAGTTAGTTGATTCAGGTGGTTATGAAACAGGATGAAATGAATACTGATGCCTCTACATGACCTACAAAGGCTAACACAACAATGAGGTGATAGACTGATTGTTTCCTGGGTATCTATTTCCCATGGCTGTAACCACTGCCGCCAATTTATCGTCTGATAAAGCAATATACAATGTGCAGAGTAGGACTTTATTTGTTTACGATAAAAGATTTGCAGAAAGTCATTTATTTTTTACATCGAAAAGACAAAAAAAAATATTTTTCTAAGAGAATATATATACATGTGTACAAGACAAGATAAACAAAGAGATAAGAGGAACGTATTTGTCCGCAGAGATAACTAAAAACAACATAAACAGAGATGTTCACTCTATGCATGTCTGGACTTCTTGACTGGGGTCAAAAACGGGATGCTAGCATATAAATGCAGAGTTGGCATCACACACTATACATACTTTGTCAACCAAAGGCGCTATGAGACGTTTTTGACTTGTTTCTTTAGCTTTTGTAACAGTGACATGATACCTCTCCATGACCTTAACAGTAAGATGCAATGACTAGCAACAAGGCTGGTTAAATTCTGTACTTTATTCCAGTGCCTGTCTTTGGGTTGGATTGAAGTCTGAGTTGATGTTTGGCACTCACACAGAAATGACTATTTTAAGAACTCTGCTGGTTTATTTCCAGGGTGAGAAGAAACTTAGAAATGGCAGCTACTGGAGCTGGGTTGGCTAAAACTTCAGATACAGTTTTAGACGGAGAAACTCTACAGCACAAGCTTTGTTAGATCGAAACAGCTATGATAAGGATTTAAGGTTTTTGGCAGGATGTAGATGCTTCGCTGCTCCTCAAGGGCAAAAGAGTTGAGCTGTGAGAATATTTATGTTACTTGGACATAAAGTGGGACACCACAGCACACACCATGACACCGGGGCTGTAATGGGTAAGGTTAAACAAATACTTTTTGTCACCTTCTGTAAGGTAATTGTCCCTAATTGTTTGGCATTGTTACGCTAAAACCAACAAGTCTGCACAGCTACAAATCATCCCTCTGCATCCTGCAAAAAATCATCTTAAACGAAGAACAGAACCTTTAAAAAGATGATCTTTACTCTATTTATTTAATTCTGGGACAAGTGCATGGGTTGGCACACCCACAGTAGATGTTTGGGGGAATTCAGCATCATCCTTGGGAAACCACTAGGAGACACCCACATCAACACAACAGGAAAGCTGAAAGTGTCCTTTAAAGAAATGCCCTGTTGGTAAAAATGACCAGCGTAGGAGTCCCGTAAGACTTTTAAATGTCAGTGCTTCACCAAACCAGGTAGACAAGTCATTTGAGGCCTATACATATGACTGATAAGCTAACAGTGTCCCATTATCTACCAGTTCATGGCTTTTTTAAATACTTGAGTCTGATTGGTCGATACTCCATGGCAACAGTCTGTTATTTCCTGACAGCATATCGTTGGTACAGATCTAATTACAGACTTCAACAGTAGAAATAACTTCGTTTTTAGTGCTGCTCACTCTGTTCGTGTTCTGATTATAGCTATGACAGCCTGATCACTATACATTATCGACTACTTTGTGAGAAAAATGCCTCAAAATGGAGTTTTGTTCAATATGTAGACTTAAAAGTTGAAATCAATAGGTTTTAAACTGTTGGCTGAACAAACCAACTTCAAGACCAAGAAGACAGGGAACAGTATTGGTTCTTTCTCGCTCTTCTTCGCTTAAATTTACCTCCCAGATGCAGAAATGATACAGACTACAAGCCTTAAATCTATCCATAGCTCTTATTTGCTTTTCAAAAGATAAAATAAGTAAGGTTGAATTGCTTTTAACCATATTGACTCCACTCCAGAGTTAATCATTATCTTCGGTCTCTCAGACTTTCCTCCTCAGACGAAGTAGCTCCTTTGCTCTTATAACTGATGATCTCAGCTGCAGCCACGACGTGTCAAAGCCGATGTGTCCACCTCAGATCTCACCTCATTTACACAAGTCTGCATTAACATAATGCTTTCTTCAAGTAAAGCCACTCTCAGGTGGAATAAAAGAGGCCTTTTTAAGATGTTTATGAAAAACAGCATCCATATTTATCAAAAGCTATTTTCATACACCCCTGTCTGATGTGGTATGGTGCCTAATGGGGATAATTGTGTGGCTTTGTTCTGACTGATACATCATAAGCAAAAAACCTGTCCATTATTAGAGGAATACGCAGGCTGGAAAAACAAAATCCATCATAATTACAATGCTGTCGCTCATACATTAATCTTAATCCCCATTCCACAATCCATCCAAAGCTTTATTTGTGGTTTAATTCCTAGATGCATAATTGAAAATCGCAAACAAGTGTATTGATTTTCTGTCTGACAAATTGAAAGTTTTCTGGATTAGATCCTATTTTCATGACATTTAAAGTTTTAGTATTTTCAAAACCTTAGCCTGCCCAGGGAATACAAATTTAGTGGATGACTAGCAGGTAAAACAAAATGTTCTGTGATTGCGTATTGAATGGGCCTCTGGTGTTTGTCGCCATCACAGGATAAACAGGCCATGATGGATGCGGCATAATCGTTGGAGACGAGTGAACTCTTTTTAAGAACGGTTTCATGGGCACTAACTAGGGTGCAAGTTTGTTTGCTAAGTTACACAGCATGACAATGATGGCACTGAATCAAAGCGGGGAAACATCAATGACACCTTACTGCGCACCACAGCCTTTTGTGCCATGTGAGGGACGCTTGAACGCTCTTGTAGGAACCTGCAGGTGGATGCTGTAGGGAGGTGGAAGTATTCATAAAGGGCAGCTTTAAGTTGCCATTATTAGCTTACTTGCAACCACTGCCAAATTCAAAACTGCACATACTATTGCTGCTGATATTAGTCATATCTTTACAGCTTATATTTTCATTGTTTGTACCTGTTGACATTTTTGTCGATCCTTGTTGGGTTGAGCTATTTCTAAACTGCCTCATCTGACACCTCCTTCTAATAGTAGTTACCAGGTTTATATTGACTAACCCTAACCCTAACCCTAACCATCATTGTTAGTTCAAGTCTCAATAAACAGCTAAAAACTTCTTACTGCTGCTTTAGATAGTAGTATTGACTAAATATGAGGCAAAAAAGGGGCATGTTACTGCTTGCTTCTTTACTTCTTTAATTATACCAACTTAAGTAACAACCACAGATAGCAATACAGAGAGCCACACGCTCAACCAAAACGCCGCTCTATAGCCACAAATAATGCTCAGAACAGCATCTAACTTCATCAACAGGACATATAGGGTCCAAACCTTAGCACTAGCCACCAAACATCAAGACCTCTGGGTGAGTCCAACGACTGCGGCGGGGTGACGGAGCTCAAGGAAGAACATTTATGATCATTACTTTATTATTTCCTTGAAGTAATAATCACCATATTAATAATTTTGCACTGCAGACGCGGTAGTTCTTCTCCCTTAGCGTCTCGGTCGATTGAATTTCCATGAATAAATGATCATAAATGTTCTTCCTTGAGCTGCGTCACCCCGCTGCAGTTGATGGACTCGCCTGGAGATCTTTGTACAAACAGGCGGCTGCTGGAAGAGAGACGGTGAGTTGTGTTTAGTCTCTTTGCTAAAGAAATTCGGCAAAGTCAAAAAGATGTTTGGTGGCTCGTACTATGGCTGGGACTCTGTATGTACTGTTGATGAAGTTAGGTGCTGTTCTGAGCATTATTTGTGGATGAAATTTTGGTTGAGTGCGTGGCTCTCTGTATTGCTATCTGCAGTCATTACTAAAGTTGGTATAACTAGAGAAGCAAGCAGTCAGCAACATCCATCTCTCTCGACGGGTTGTGTATAACTCGGTGTTACGGTGTGTTTGACCCTAACTTGATTTTACGCTGGAATATTCCTTTAACAATATTTTGTTGTGGTGCACTATCCTCACAAGAATGCAAGTTCTGCATAAAGTTTGGCACAATTAGCTTTGATCTGGACCATTTCTAAAAGGTTTTAATGCAATGATCCATCTCCTATACCTTATTTGGATCTAGGCACTAGTGGCGTAGGAGTTCTGGACGGGTCTGTTGTGGGGCAGAACTTAAACCTGCCAAGGATGAAGAGGAGGGCTGCATCAATTTGACTGAAATGACAACTGACGACAGCAACTGTGAGGGATGGTTCCATAATTCATGACAGCAACGAGGTTACTCGCTCAAGGAGGTTGTGCGAAAAATGTGACTGGTTTAACTGAAATACCGAGACGACCACCATTAGCTGATGAGCGGAAAGAGGAGAGAGAATATAAATAATGAGCCAGCATCAAGTCCTCCTGATTGAACTTCTGCTAAGCTTCATAATGACTTTTTACCTCGGACTTTATTGTCTGAGGAGCTGGCATTTAATTATGAAAAGAATAATTAAAGCGAGACCTACAAAACGCCGCTCTTGTGCCTGAGATCAACCGGTGGCTCTGCGCTGATAAAAAAACCTCTGAAAAGACAAGAGAAAGCCGCACAAGCAGTCACATGACACACGGGCTCGAGTGTTTCTTTCTCCGAGGGGGTTGATCGGCCCATCACATGTGAAAGTATAATGCAGGGAATGATCCATCATAGCCACAGCCTGACTCAGGGGCCAAGACGGAGCATTTCAGCTTAATAACACCCAGAAGCAGCAGTTTTTTCCCCTGTCCTTTCCCCTTCTCTTTGCATCAAGAGCACACATCAGCCCCATGCTTCATACTCCACATGCAAGATGGCATTTTAATGAGCCTCACTTTCAATGCAAATCCCCCCTTTTTTCCCTCCTGCTCCTGCTCATCTCTGCCACCTCAGAGGAAATGAAGAGAACATGGTGGCCTGCATAGTATCACATCTCCACCGTGCATGTGTGTGTTGCAGCAACAATAACTCTTTCCACCCACACACTCTCACTCTCACTCTCGCTATCCCCCTCCCCTTCCCCCTCATGGCAACCACCACCATCACCACCACCACCACCACCACCGCTGCTCCCGCCTCACCCCACTCCAGCGCCTTCAGTGGCTCACGTGCCTCAGCACACTCTGATAACTCCCATGTTGCACAGAGAAAAGAGGAGAAAAAAAAACCCTCCACGCTCAAGTCCAGAGGGGCATCAGAGTGCGGGGGCGTCATCCGGCTTCCTGAGGAAACAGAGGATGTTGTTTCTTATCAATCTGGAGAAGCACGCTTCATTTGTAAAGAGTATACATGAGAGAGGAATGATGCAGCTGGAATGCAAGAAAACTCAGACAATCCGAATTAAAAGCTTGATAAAATGACCCATAAAGAAGGGAAATAAGGTGTAAATCGCTCATTTTTGACAGCTTTTGAAAAGATGTACCACTTGTTGGGATATTGTGTGTTTACTGTGCGGGTTTTGACTGTTTTATAGTAGCCCTTAAACATAAATTTACTCAACCTTGTCATGACAATAAGGACTCACTCATTGTGCATTAAAAATTTTGATATAAAATAATAAAAATGAGCAAAAAAGGGTTTTTTAAATCTGCATGACTTCAGAAGTTCAACATATTGTGGATTTCTTCTGTAGAAATCATCTTTTTTTGCTGATGGGAATCCCCCAAATTCACTCTCGTGGTTTTTTAACCTCTCCTGGGAGAAGAAAGAAAGAAAGATCAGTGAGCCCACACACAGTGGAGTGTGTGCGGATGGGGTGATGCCTCGAGAGCGCATCACAGGACGACAAAACCCCTCTGCAAGACGCAGCGCCAGAGTAGAGCAGCTGTGGCAAGAAGAGTCAGATTTCCTGGAGTTTAGAGGAGAAAAAAAATCGAACGAATCCTTGGTATGCCTCTCATAAAGCCTGAATCTCTCTGATCATCTTTCCAGGATTTGCACAGAGACGATGTAGTGGACGAGAAAGAGGAGGACTCCACCAGTGGAGAGTTCTGGGGATGCTTGGACACGGTTATGGGTGATCAGTGTCATCTTTCAGCGGGGAAACAACACTGGATATGCACCGAAAAAAGTGGGAATAAGTGAGTTTCGGGGGGCGCACAGGATGGACACTGCGGAGGTTATCCTCTCTGTGCTGGTGGTTGTCATTATCATAGTGTCGTTGCTGTCCAACGTCCTGGTGCTGATCTGCTTTCTCTACAACCCGGAGATCCGCAAGCAGGTCCCAGGTCTCTTCAACCTCAACCTCACCTTCTGTAACTTGTTGCTCACGGTGTCCAACATGCCGCTCACTTTGGTGGGACTCGTCAGTCAGGCTCAGCCCGGAGGAGACGGATTCTGCCAGATCGTGGGCTTTTTGGAAACCTTCCTATCCACGAACTCGATGCTGAGCATGGCAGCTCTGAGCATCGACAGGTGGATCGCGGTGGTGTTCCCCTTGAGATACCACTCCAAAATGCGCCATAAAGACGCCGCGTTCGTGCTCGGATACACGTGGGTGCACTCGGTGTCCTTCTCCACGGTGGCCGCGTGCCTCTCCTGGGTGGGATATCACCGGCTTTACGCGTCCTGCACCCTGGCCAACCCGAGGGCGAGCAGCCGGACGCAGTTTGTCATCTTTACCGTGTTTTTCCACTCCTTCACCTTCCTCCTGTCTTTTATAGTTCTGTGTTTCACTTACCTCAAAGTGCTGAAAGTGGCGAGGTTTCACTGTAAAAGGATAGACGTTATTACCATGCAAACTTTGGTGCTGCTGGTGGACATACATCCAAGGTGAGACCCCTGACTATTACATTTCTACATAGTAACCTTCCTTTTACTCAAACACTGTCTCATTTGGATGAGGATCAGTAAAAGTATGCATTTAGAAGTAAAAAGAACAAATTTTACCCCCTTAACCATAAACAATTCTACGTTTTATGTGTATTTTTGAGCTAGTTGTGTGTGTAACACTACAGTTAATAAAGCTCTCCCTCCTTTTTTCCTTTTTTTTGCTGACATTTGAATTTCTCCTCAGTATTCAGAGGGTGCAAAATCTGACCCCATTGAAATGTCATCTAAAATCTACCAAAATGTCATTGTTTTATTCTGCCTCTGAACAGTACAGCTAACATCTACACACACACACACACATTTATATATATTTCTGACATATATAGTGCGTGTGTATGTGTGTGACATAAGCCACATCCATTGGTTTCAGTTAAAAAAGTGGTGTCCCCTCTTGCACGCTCACAGCAGGAGTCCCCATAGTGTAGTAAAAATAAGTAGTGTGTGTTGTTATTATGAAGATCCCTGCTAGTCTTAGAGGTGCACTCTCGTAATCTAACTCCTGCTTTTTCTTATTTGATTATTACATAACTTACACAAAGTTACAACTTAAAAACAAATTCTTGAAAGTAAGGGTCCTCACTTTGCAGAGTGTTTCAACTCCTTTACTATGCAGAGGTGCGCCCGTTTTGTGCTTTTGTTTACGAGTTTTCTCCTGCGCTTTGCACCCAATGAACTCTCTGCTTCCAGCGTTCGACAGCGTTGCCTGGAGGAGCAGAAAAGGCGACGACAAAGAGCCACGAGGAAGATCAGCACCTTCATTGGCACCTTCATGCTCTGCTTTGCCCCCTATGTGATTACAAGGTGAGTGCTGGAGATTAACAAGTAGGTGGTTGGGGGCACTCTGCCGCATATACACAGCCTCTTTTGCTTTGCTGGTATCCCCTTAACCCCCCTCCCTCATCGTCGTCGTCGTCGACCCACCCCTACACCATCCCACCGCCGCCTCCCCCCTGCTTCCTCTACACACCAGCCGGAGTTGGAAGATGAGATTGGCTGACCTTGTGATAAGTAATATGCCTCTGCTGTTGTTGCTGCAGCACCAGCACTTTTCTCCTCAAGTTCGTCCGGTGCATCAGTTTGTCAGGTAGAGTCTGCTCACATTAATCACCGGCCAAAGAGAGGATGTCAGTTTGCATGTGAGTGGACAGGAGAAGGACACAAAAGTAATTGCAATGAGAAGAAAGCCTTAAAATGGTGCACGTTTCCCCTTTTATATAAATTATATTCAAATCATCATCATGCTATAGATTTCATTTAAGAAGAAGCTAAGAGGAGGAAAACATGAAACTTCAAAGGCCCCGTTTTTCCAAAGCACCCTGAAAGAAAACAAAAGATTTTATTTTTCTGCTTTTTAAATTTTGCTTTGAACATTTTTCAAAGTGCCTGTTTGTGCTTTGGATGTGGATTTTCTCAGCAGCAAAGAAAGAAAAAAAAAGGTTGCTGTTGAAAACTTTAATTATCAAATTTCCCTTCACCTTCAAAGGCACTTCATTTACCTTCAGTGTGTTTGGTTGGGAGCAATGATTTCTGAACACTCAAGAAAATTGTCCATTTTGGCAGCCAGTGTGAATAAGATTATTTTTCAAAGCTTGATGTTTAAATTCCCCTAACAATTTATTTTCCCACTATTATGAACTCAGTCGTATTGTAATATCCATCAAAAAGCACCATCTAGGAATTAAATCTGCTTTTCCTTCTTTTCTGTTTATGGATGTTGATGCACATTCATCTATCATGGTTCTAACAGTGGAGGAAGAAAAGGTCTATTACACTTCTAAAGAAATGCATTGAACATCAAATTTTACATGGATCAGATTTTACCAATGCAGACGTTTAATAACTGATGTGTCTCGATTTCATTCAAAAGTCGCATCCCTGCACATCTGCTCTGCTGATGCACTTACATCGTCCCCCTTTATGTCCATGTATCACGATGAATTGCTCAATTTTCCCATCCTTAGCTCTCTGTAGTGCAGGTAAATTAAGTATCTTAACCTCTCTGCTAATGTGAATCTCACAGACACTCAGACATCACCTGTATGTCCGCTCATTAAACGTCGTAGATCAACTCATTGCAACACTCTCAACACACTTGTATTCTGCTTCTTGACTGTTTTAAATTACTCTTTTCTGTTGTTTTGGCCTCTAAACTTTATTTGATGTATTATTTGGAATAACACAAAGTTAATTCACAAAGGGCTTGATCTATTAAGATCCAAAATACCGAGCACTAAATTGCATGTGCAAACTAAAAAATTGCATGTGCTATTAGTGGTCATGTTGCGGGTGATCTACTATCATTGTGTGCGGGAGCAAAAGTGGTGCGCACCGCCCTCTTTAAACGCGGATTTTGCGTGCGCTATTGGCTATAGGCGCTCTCTGCATGCTGCTCCAGTTTGCACGTGCCTGTCAAACATGCTAAATATAGACGCAAAATAGCGACCTCCCAGAATTTTGCGCGTTCTGATGATCTATATACATTCTGCATATTCTTGAAGGCAAACTCGCTAAATCGATTGCGCGCGCTGTTTTGCTCATTTGACAGACGCAATCCTCGGTGCACCCAGTTAGTAGATCAGGTTTGCGTGCGTTATCAAGTTTGCACATTTTTTTGCACAAACTTTTAGTAGATAAGGCCCTAAAAGTGGTCGCAGTGCAGAATAGAAACTTCCTTTAAACAGGCAGAAACCTCGAGAAAAACCAGACTCCCCTGCAGACAGCCATCTACCACTGAGAGAGTGCGCTTATTAAAGTGATTGAAACTCTTTTTAGGACACTACGCCGTCACAAATAAAGCACAAAAGCCTTTTTGAATTGTTTTTTTTTATCCCCTAGGACAACAAGCGCTGACACTTTGTTGTGTTATCGGTAAACTCTCAGTAATGAACGACCACAGTGGCACTGTACATGCTCTCATCCTGCAAATGGCCCTTTACTAATTACAGTGTGAATACATTACGCTAAAAGCTCCTGAACTCCCTCTCTGATGATCATTTGTTGTCAGGGTCATCATGTGTGTGTGAAAGCCACGCTGTGCTTTGCGGTGTGGCCGACTTAACCTCGTGTTCACCACAGTGATGTAGAGTGTGTGGGAAAATGCCACTGATGGCTACTGGCCCATGTGCGCCGGTGTTAATGTGCTGACAGAGCTTGAATGTGGACAGAGTAATCATATATAGTGCAGGAGTGGAGGATCAGCATGTATTTTTTATACCTTTAATGACTTCACATACGGTAAATTATTTCTGTACTCAAAAGAAATGAGTGTAATTACTTCAATTTAATATTTTTATGAGCATGCCATGAATTAGGTACTTGAAGTGGACAAAATGAAAAAGTGTAAAGCTCATTAGGTGCCATTTAAGATTAAATGTATAGTATTTTAGAGAAAGAACAGCATTTTCCACTTGCTGTTGGAAAAACTCCCTGTCCCCAGTCCTGTAAGATCTCCTATGTAGCCCTCACACTAATACGGGATTGAATAACAGTCTCAGTTTCTTGGCTTGTTTCCAGACCCTCATTACTGCTCAGAATGGCCTATGTTTTTCATCTGATGGCTTTTTACAGGAATGTCACTGGTTGATAATTAAAAATGTAAAGCATGTAAAGCAGCTGACAAGAGAGGACACACTATGACAACACAAAAGATTATGAAACAACAAATGCAAATCCAGTTATTCAAAAAGCGCAAACTAACCCTAACCCTAAAGGTCCTTACACACTGGGGGCCGACAAAAATATACGACGCTAAATTACAAAATATATGGAAGCAAATTTTGACACACCTGACTATACACATCAAGCACGATGCTATTTTGTGACTTTCCGGGGGGAAAAAGACGCGTGCCAGGTGGAAACGAGAAGACTGACACAACAGCAGACTGACTGTTATTCAGTTCTGATTAGATACTAGTGTTGAGATGTCTGTCTTCATGATAGCATGTACTGAGTCGGGGCCAGTACCAGATAAGCACATTAAACAATAATCCATAAATGTAAGCTAACAACCGAGACCTAATGGTGCTGTGACAGCAACGTGATTGAGTTTGAGACAGTGAAAATACATATGGTATGTTGTATCTGAACAGGCTAGCTTACGAGCTAAAGTTACTTAGCACAGATGAAAGTTAAAACAAAGACGTTTAGCAAACTGTTAAAGCACACAAACCATCGTCATATGAGAAATCCAATGCTGTGACTCTCCACAAGTTGTCCTTCAGGTCGTTATCTTTGTAATATTTGTGTCTTTTATCAAAAAGCACTCTGTTCTCCGACACGTAAACAATCAGCCGGTCGGCCATGTTGGATATACTGGTGAATTGGACGTCGCAACAACACAGAATCTGATTGGTCATAAGTGGACACACTAGCTAAACTTTAGAAAAATCGACCGTGATACAAAAAAATAACTGCCGCAATATCGCAGGACGGGAAAACGTTGCTGATGTGAACGCTTGTATTGACAGGATACGGGTTCGAAAAAAAATATTGACGTCCGAAATAATCGCGTGAAAAAAAGGGTCCCGGTGTGAAAGGACCTTAAGCATGCTGCAACATTTAGCTCCAAATGTCTAAACACAAGATTAATACAACAGACCTTAATGCCAAAGACCTGTAGTGGGCGCCAAAGCAGGACACACACTACAAAATAAGCAGGCTAACTTTTGGTACCATTTCCTCTGTTGGACAAAAGTAAGCCAAGTCCTGATACTTTGATTTACTGTCAGCTTTTCTAGCAGTGTAAGGTACGTTTCAGTATTTTAGTTAAGGTGACCATCTGAACCCCAAAAAGAGGACACAACTACGCAGAGTCACAAAGTCACACAAAGTTAATTTTGGGAGTTTTTCAGGTCGGGTCAAGTGTCTTTTACTCAGTAAGTCCATGTGACACAAACTCGAAACTTCCATACAAAACCCCAAACATTAGGAGGATTTTGTAAACTTCCCAGGACAAAGCCAGACAAGGCCGGACAGCGCCCAAAAAAGAGGACATGTCCGGGTAAAAGAGGACGTATGGTCACCCTAATTTTAGTATCAAGGTTGTATGAACTAAATGTCCTTAGTGAGTGTACTGACCACAATAAATGTCAGTCAGCTCAGCCTTTTTACTGGAAAACCTTTACCATGTTATCTCTGTGATTTTGAGACACTTTGACCCAGCACTCATCTTGATTTACTGGTACGCTCCACCAAGAATGTTTTCAGCCCTTTACAATCATAAATGCCTCTGGTTTCTTGTGTGTTGTGACATGTCTTCAAATAGACATAAATACAACCAACCTTAATAATAGGTGATTCTGACAGCGTTGATAACATGCTATTTATTGTGGAAACATGTGGACACCTTTATGGACTGGGGTTAACAGAGCAAAAAGGCGACTCAATGCGCTGAAAGAAAAAGCGACAAAACCTCGACATGAACTGGACAGCAGGAGGGGTGTAAACTGCAAGCTGATGACAACAAACAGAGAAAACTACTTGCCATCACGAGTAAGACTTGGTATCAACAGTAACTCTAAATAAACCGGCAGTTCACACAAGGCTTCAGTGTGCAACGATCACCAACTGGAGTCCACTGCGGAAAAAAACGGTCAAAATTCAAAAGCTAATCCCACTGTTTGCGGAAGAGCTTCTCTGTGTGTGTTGCATCTGCATGTTGTAGTGCAAAAGAGGCTTTCTGGTTGCAAAGCAAAGAGTTGGAAATTTTCTAGGTAAAACTTGCCTGGGTCTGTGGAAACGGTACAAGCAAGGTGGCTTTCCAGCTGATTTTGGCTCCTGGCGTACCCGTGCTGGCCCTGCTCAACTTCATTTTGGACCTCCGGGGCAGGACTCTGTGATACCTGCTATAGCCTTCTCCCATCCCAGCTGTGTCTTCCTTATCCCCAGAATTAGAGTCTTGGTTGAAGCGGCTGAAAGCTACTGCAACGTTAGTTTAAGGTCTCTTTCAAGAATAGGGAATGACATGTGGCAAAGGACCATGCATTGAACTCGAACCCAAGCTGTAGTATCTGTACACGTACCTGCCATTTGAGTTTGCACAATTTTTATTGTGTGTCTCATCTTTTAAATGCCCTTATTTGCTTTTGCCCTTGTCAGCCACTTTAAAGCTCCAGTGAGGAAGTTTTGGTTTGTGTCAATTTTGGCGCCCCCTTGAGGACAAAGCAGTCTTGGTTTCTCTCGTCCTTAACATGTTTAAATACAGTCTCTTGACAAATATCTTGTCCTGCTGACCTTTGACCATCAAATGTATTATTTGTTGTGACTTTTTAAGGTGGAACCATAGACTGAATATAGAATGGACAGAGTCTGCCTCCTCGCTGGGTGAAGCCACTCCGAGAACAGCACCCTCTGGTGACAGGCTGCAGTATAGGTTATAAATCCAGCCTCCGCCAGCAAATCTTATGGAGCTGTGGACAAACTTTAGAAATTAATTACACAAAATACACCCCCCCTTGCGATGTTGACATGTAGTTATTGTAAGACTGGTTTGGTCTGTGCAGTACCATTTTTAAAAGTAGTTAGGGGTTCATGTTTTCAATGACTGACACTTGGTGCAGCCTATGAGCGTACGAAGATTGCGTAGCTCACCCAGGGGATACGCTGTTTGAGCCGAGCGTCATCACAGCGACTCTCCCGCTGAATGCGTACAATGCTACCGCGTTGGTGTTGATTGGTTGTTGATTGTTGTTGGTTTTAGAAAATGGCGAAAAAACACAGGATTACCGAGAGATTTTCGGCTTCAAATCCGTATACTGGTAAGGCGGAACCAAGTTGTCCATAGTAAATACAGTCTGTGGTTGGAACAGACAGGACTGTTTCTTCAGCTGTTGACACCCACCCCCTCACATCAGTTTCAAGGATTAAAAATTACAATATAAAAGTTAACAATCTTGTCCCTAATGTTTTTGTTTTCTTTTGTTTATTATGAAAAATCACTAATATGAATTTCCATCTATTACATAAATGTGAAAAAAAAATCCTCACAGGAGCTTTAAAAATAAGGCGACATTATTAATCTACATGAAAAAGACGAGACTTCCCCTCATTCTACAATTTATCCACCCCCATACCAATGTCTCACAAATTACAGGGCATGCATGTCTTTTCAAGCATACTGACTTCTCCCATCTCTCTCTCTCCTTTCTCTCTTCATACCCGCCTTCAGGATTGTGGAGCTATTCCCAGCGGTGCCTATCAACCCCCACTGGGGAATTGTCTCCAAGTGCTTAACTTACAGCAAGGCGGCCTGCGACCCCTTCGTGTACTCCCTGCTCCGACACCAGTACAAGAAGACCTGCACTGACATCATCAACAAGCTACTCAAGCGGAGCTCCTTGAACGCGTCAGGGCGCAGACAAGAAAATCAAGGCAACAGCATACCGACTGCGGAGTGACAATAAGCAGGGGACGATGGGATACAACCCGAGGGTTGACCTGGGAACGGTCAGTGAAATATGAAGCTGGTTCACCGTTTATGAAGAAGAGAACAAATATCAGTTTTTCCTGCACATGTCTGCTTGAATTTTGTCTGACATGCCCAAAAAAATAACAAGTCACTACAGACAAGGGCAAAACCCTGCACAGTAATATCACTATGCTTGCATACTGAGCACCCAGAACAGCAGATCAGTGCAGTGAACTTATTGTGAGGACAATAAGCAATGGCAGGTTTTTATTTCCACCTGGAGAGACAGATGTGCTCACCCAAGGAGAACGGCCAGTTCCAGGAATCATTATTCTAACTACAGTAGCTTTCACTCCGAAATTAGATAAGTTGCTTTTGCAGAGTTTCTATTTATTGGACATGACTGTAGTACATACTCACATTATCTTTCAAAGAGAAGGAATAGAAACACCTGTATGTCTTTTTTAGTCAAGCTGGTACTGTATGTAGCACTGAAAACTAGCCTAACCAAAACTTGATTCAAAACCAGACTTAATGGGGTGAAAGATACTTCCATATCAACAAAATCTGGATAGGCTATTGTTATTTTTGTAGTACAAATCCCGCTGCCAATGAAGGAAAGAAAAGCAAGATTATGGAGCTTTTTGTGTGTTTAATTTGCGCCGACATATCGCCGTTATTTGTGCTTTCAGTTCCAATTTTGAAGGACTTTTTAGTGACCCAGTAAAGTCGAGTATTAATGGGTAAAATTGGCCTTCAAATCGGCTGCCTCTGCTGTCATGACTGACTGTGTGCCCCTCAGGTTGTTTATTCAAGTGGAGCGTGATTGACTGTACTTTCCCCTCTGTACTCGCAGAGAGAGCTCAGCGGAGTATGCTTCATGCTCTCGCACACATTTGAACAAGATGGACAGAAATGGAACACAGTACATGATGTCTTTGTTTCTTTACTTAGCAGGGTGATCATATGAAAACTGATGTCATCATGTGATTTTTAAAGGCGATGATGACCATCCATGCAAAGATAGAAATGATTCTCAGAATGAAACACGTCGGGGTAGAGGGATTGATCATTTTTCTCGTGTTAGATGTAATGTTGAAAAATCTTTTAAAGTACCTCCCAATTTTATCAACCTGTGATGCAATTTGTGAACATGCGTAGACAAAGCAAATTTTTTTCAAAAGCAGCTGCAATTGCTCCAAATTTAGAGGACAACTATATTTTTTCATATAGTTGTAATGCAGTATTTTGGTATTAAGGCTAAAGAGTAGAATATTAAGATAAAATGAACTGTCTTCTCTTAGCAAAGCAGTATTGAAATGAAACACTTCCTAAAGCTATTAAGTTTAAAGGGTACACATTTGATTCAATTTTAAAACTCCTGTGAGGAGTATTTTGGTGTTTATGAAATGGATAAAAACGTCTGTTTTTATGATATACAAAAGCAAATAAGGTCATTAGCAACAAAATTGGCAATTTTCAGGTGAAATAGTGCAAGGGGGGAGGTGTCAAACATTTCTTTTTTGCAATTTCCACATAATATTTACAATAATTGATAAGTTTAAAAGTCAGCGGGATGAGACTTCTTGTAAGAAGACACAAATTAAGGACAAGATTAGCAAAAATTGGTCTGGCACAGGGGGCCAAAATTGACATAAACAAAAAAAGTTCCTTACAGGGGCTTTAAATATAATAACAGATCTTTATCCTTATTTTATGACCTTGTGCAGCAACCTGTAACCAACCAGCACCAGGTCTGAGTAAAACTAGAATTTTTTTTATATGCTGTTTGCCAGGCAAAATTAGATTTTGTGCCTCCCTACACCAAATAATATAACCTGAAACAGGTTCTTATTTGGAGAAAGTTCCTTCTTGGCAAATAAATAATAAGTTAATTCCCCAAGTTGTTCTGTTTGAATCATAATCCCCCAAAAACTTCAGATTACCCACTGATAAAATAATGGCCCAGACAAAAACATTTGAAGTGCAACAACTTGTTTCCTGTTGACTAATCCTAAAATTGCCTTGTTGCTTTACCTGTAATAACCCTGTGGTGCGTTATCTGCAGCTACCTGTGCAACAGTAAATTGGAGGGAACACGGTACATTTTTTTAACAAATGATCAATGACATCTTGGTTTTCTCATTGCACTGAAAGATTTAAGAGCGTAAACAAAGCAAGCTAATTTTCAGTAAACCAGAAAAGACAGATTTATGTAAGCTTCTACTTATTTCCAGAGCTGCACTGCTTTGGAAGGCATTTGTACGACCAAATTTGCATCTTTATTGTAAAATATGTTAAATTTTAAGTATTTTTGAGAGAATTACTAAAAAGACAGTACATGTTTATAAAAGAGACAGGTGGCAGTGGAGAGACAGTAATATTATCTTTTTAGCGTCACATGAATAGACACATGTTCAGTCTATTTATTAAGCCTCAGTGGTTGTGTAGTTTCCAGGCATTTCCTGAGGCCTACGCCCATGAGCCCTCTTGACTGACTGTGTTGTAAACCCATTACTTCATATACCCGCTCTTTTCTGTTCCAGAGGACAGGCAGCTCTAAGTCAGTGGACTTTTGATTGGGCTCCACTTTTTTAAAGAATAAACTCTGTTTAATAGAGCGCCCAGGTTTAAGGAACAGGAGACTGTATTGTAAAGGTTTACTTCGTGGAAATCCTGTATTCAGTTGTCTCCTTTGTGTTGATATTATTGCTGCATTTTGATACACAATGCATTTGGACTGTGCATTCGAAGGTTTGACAGTAAGATGCTGTCACACCCAAATGATCAATGACGCCCAGTGAGCCAAATGTAAGTAGCTGCTGATCACTTTCTGAAAACACTACAGAAGAAACTTTCAAAACTTGTGATGAATTGATTTATTGCCTGTGTTTTGTGTCCTTGACTCTAAATATTCATGATTATATTGTTTAGAAAAATGGCTGTCTTGGACATACGATGCATTGCATAGTACAGTACTGTATTACACTCCAAGGCAACCAATGCCTTAAACTTTTGTAATATACAGTGGTTCAGAGGTTTATTTACAATGAAACTTAGCTATCTTATACACTAAGTATTGAATTAACCATTGCCTTATTCACTTCTGTTCATTAACACATAACCGTCTAGAATCTGCCTCTGTTATCTGCTATACACCATATTCACATAGGCAGCATTTTTCTTTGACGCCATGCTTAAGGAGAGGGTTGGATGCTTTATTACTGGGTTTAAAGTGATGAAATTTGGTGTATTTTAAAAATTCAACCATTTTTTGGAGGAATACTTGTATAAATAGACACAAAATTAGAAGATAACAGAAGGATGTTTGGCTGTATTTCAAAGTAGAACACTGCGCTGTTAGCTAGGCAGTAACATCGCAACTATCTTTCTTAACACGTAACCCTGCCACACAGTAACATAAACTTTCATCAACTTCCACAAAAATTTAAGTATTTTTTACTTTAAGAAAAAAAAGGAAAATGCAAAAATTTTACAAACAGGAAAAACAAAAATTATTTGAAACCAACCTTAAGCATACGTCAATAGAAAAAGGCTGCCATGTGAATGTGATCAAGTCAATGGTGGTTTCTTGCTGATGTTTTGCACTGGAGTAGTTTTTTTTTTTTTCATCAAAATGAAGAAAATGTTTATTTGGTAAAAAAAAAAAAAAAAAAGCTAAACATAAAGTAATATATGTTGACAGATTTAGATAAATGACTATGTGAAGAGTATTTTTGTGTCTTTTTGATAAATGTAATTTATGATGACACAACTGTATATTTGTCGGAGTGTTACAGAATGTGCTGCTTTAAATGCAAACTCGGTTTTAAGTGTCGTTGATAGATGACGATGACTTGTGTGTAATATACCTCATTTGTTCTGGTAACTGACTTGACTGCTTGAAGTGTTCTGTTTATGTACCTCCTAATTTATTAAACCATAGGCTCAATACTGCTGCTGCTGCTGCTAAAGATGGCTAAGACGACAACCAGTTGATGATGGCGGCGATGTGGCGACGGGTTTCATTGATGATTATCATGACGGCTGTTGCCACGATGAGATGAGAGTGATTGTAATAATAATACTGGTGAAGATGAAGTGACTGTTTTAGATTTTGACCATGATGATTAAAGTAAACTTTTGACTTAACTGGAGTGGTCTTGTGCTGTTTTACAGAAAAAAGCTACACAATTTTCTCCAGAAATGGACAGAAGCTGAAAACTACTCACTCTTAAGGTTTTTGTCGTGCGATTATTTCGAACGTTAATAATTTTTTTCAAACCCGTATCCTGTCAATACAAGCGTTCACATCAGCTACGTTATCCTGTCCTGCGATATTGCAGCATTTATTTTTTCATATCACGGTCGAAGTTTCTAAAGTTTCGCTTACTGTGTGTCCACTTCTGACCAATCAGATTTCGTGTTGTTGCAACCTCAGATTCACCGGTATATCCAACATGGCCGACCGGTTGATTGTTTACGTGTCAGAGAACAGAGTGTGTTTTGATAAAAAACACAAACATTACAAAGATATCTACCTGAAGGACAACTTGTGGAGAGTCATAGCGTCGGATTTCTCATATGACGATGGTTTGTGTGCTTTAACAGTTTGCTAAACGTCTTTGTTTTAACGTTCATCTGTGCTAAGTGACTTTAGCTTGTAAGCTAACCTGTTCAGATACAACATACCATATGTATTTTCACTGTCTCAAACTCAACCGTGTTGCTGTCACAGCACCATTATGTCTCGATTGTTACCTTACATTTATGGATTATAGTTTAATGTGCTTATCTGGTACTGGCCCCGACTCAGTACATGCTATCATGACAGACAGACATCTCAACACTAGTGTTTAATCAGAACTGAAAAAACAGTCAGTCTGCTGTTGTGTCAGTCTTCTCGCCTCCAAATATTTTGTATTTTCGTGTCGTATATTTGCGTCGTTCCTGATAAACAGAAAAGCTGTTTTGATGACTGTTCACCAATTTATCTAGCTCTACAAAGGGTTTCTACTTTTGGAAAAGATGTCTCTTATTATGATTTTAGCTAAGTGCTGCTAATGTTGGGTCTTAATAATAGACACTACAGGACTACTTTGACTATAACATGGCGCTATCTGAATGAAAATAGTTTCAATTGAATGTCGCATGTGCCGTTTTGCTTTTTAAGCCTGTAGGGCCTTTGGGTTGGGTGTCTCAGGAGGGTTGATGGTGTCTTGGAAGGGTCAAATGCTGATGGTTGAGCTGCCTGCTGGGTTGGTAAGGGGGGTGGTTCATCGTAGTCCTGATTGGACGTTAATAAGGGCTGGAAGGCAAACTGTGATCTAAAAATGGAGGGTTGACATGTAGTGAGGTGTTATGTATGCTGGGCTGTGATGATCTGTGTTCACTGAACATTAAGTTATGGATGTAGTCGCACTTGTTTGTTTGTTTAGCCATCCATTCACTGAAAGTTTCTCCAGAAGCGTGCTATCATTGCAACCAACACAGAAAAATAAATACGTTTCAAACAAACCTTCTACTTTAGATTTCAGAGAGTTATCGGTGTAAAAACTGAAACGTTTAACAGAAGCGATGTGACTGTCAGTTTGTGTATCTTCAGAGGATCTGACTGTTTCCATGTTCAATCAACCCTCACTGTGGGGAAGCGATTTTCTGTTCACACCACAGTGCAGGTGGTAATGAAACAACATCAGCCGCTGACTGAGATGGCCTTGTCTGTAAAGTGACTGAGATTCTCCACGCTGATTCACACCCCATGAGCTGGTGATTATCTTCAGGTGGGCAGCAGCGACCGTAACACAAAGCTTAATCGTGGTCAGTGTCAACTTTCTGTCAACTACCTCCCAATCCTCACCCTAAGTGAGGAGGAAAACACAGCTCGGAGTGAAAAGTGGACACCTCTCTCTGCGAGAACAAACTGAAAATCCTTGTTTTTCTATCTTTAATGCTTTGATATGGAACTAGGAGTTCAAAAATTGACTTAAGAGTTATGAAAGTCTAAATGCGTAGTCTACAATCTTTTTCATATTTAGTCACTGGAAAGGAAAACAGACCTGATATTTGTACAAATCTCTGCTTACAAGAGATTTAGTATTCAAGTGGTGTGCAGACAAACCTTTAAAGAGTGTGAAAATAATGTGACACATTTCTCCTCTCATTGGAAAAAGATAGGGGTTGAATAACATCTCCTCTGACAGGTACACAGTGCGTGGACAGAAATAGCCCATTTTAATTTTCCAATGATAGCCATGAATTGTGTTCATTGTGACCTGAAACTACATCACAATGCTCAAAAGATCCCAAAATACAACCATTGATGCAGCATATTGTTGTTTAAAAACCTCTTAAAACTTCAACTTAGCTTAAATTTTCTCATGTTTTCATCATATGTAGAAGATAACATACTTTATTTATCAATTGAAAAATAGCATTCAGCATTACTGTTCCATTATTTTCTACCATATATCACTGAAAACCCATATATCATTGAAGTTCTGTTGTCATAAAAGCCAAGAACCTATTAAAAATATATATAATTAGGTGAGAAACCAGATTCAACATTGGGTCATTTTCTCTCCCGGTGTCATACAATTATATTACTTATTGTGACACATGAAATAAAAATTTTAAATCTTAAAAAAACATACAAGCCACCAAACACAGAAATGCAAATTTGTAAACTTATCATGGTGAAGCCTCTACTTTTTTATCTTAAAGCTCCTATGAGGAACTTTCTGTCTGTGTTGGCTTTGGCGCCCCCTGTGGGCAAAATTGCAACCCTTATATAATTGCTGATATTGTCTTATTCGTGTGAAAATGATATCTCCTGTTGTCCTCTTAAAGTGAACACTATTTCTCACCATGAATATTTACTGGTGTACCTACCCCCTTGCAGCCAATACAGCCATTAAAAATGACAACAAAGAAATTGTCAGTCTTGTCTAATTTGCTTTAATACATTATAGAGATGCATCACCATTCATTTCAGACTGCTCCATCTAAAACTCCACACAGGAGCTTAAATCTCTTGGCATCAGTTTCATAGATTATATCTGTGCAGGTTACTGAAATGGCAGCATTGTCAGTCCCACCTGCCAGTAAATATGAGTAAAAGCTGCATGGCTGGTGGTTCTGGCAATGTTGGGCTATATGGAAGATTGATAGATCACAAAAATATCAATATCCCAGCTGCTGAACTGCAATCTTATTATTGAAAGTGTTGCACAATGTCTCAGTGGGGGAGCAGAGCTTTTAAATAGTTCAGATTAATGTTTGAAAACTTCTAAACCATCGGGTATAGAAGCTGAATCTGTTTGAAAGACCGCGTATTGTTATCAGCGAGGTCTATGATGTTTTCTGCTGAAGTGTTCACCCCCTAAAGGATCCGCACACCCAGGTACACCCACCAGCGCTTTCCACTTATCTGACTGATTAAGCCTCTTCTAATGCAGATCACATATCCCCTCTGGATTCTGTCTGAAGCAGAAAACTCAACAACTCACAGTTTTTGTCAGATTCAAGCATCCGGTGCCTGTACAGGGGGGAGTTTTAACTTAATATAGCAATTTTGCTGGTCTGTTGTCTTCTAACAGTACTTGTGCGTGTGTGTGTTGCCTTACTTTTTTATAATTTAGGCATTGTTTCCTCTTAATGACCACCAACTGCACAGCCTGTACTCTACTAAACTCTCTTTTACTGGAAAGTTTTTGTACGTTCAGTGTTCTCATTAAAATTTTAACTTTTTTGTGACTATGTTAATCTAGTTCCACCAAATTTGGTTTATCTTTAAACTGTAATGTTATGTTCTTATTTGAGTTTATTTTCTTTGTATTTTTCCTAGTGTTTCTGTTGCCTATTGTTCCTGTGATTCTGTCTTGTGTGTTTTCAGTTTGTGTTTTACCCCGTTTCCCTCATGTTTTTAGTGTTTTATTCTTTAAATCAGTTTTCTATGTTTCTAGTTTTATTTTGTAGTAGTTGATTCCTTGTGTTTCTAGTCTGGTTTTACTTCCCCAGTTCTCCCTCCTTCCTTAATCACTGACGAGTTTCACCTGTGGCTCGTTTGCCTCACCTGTTGCTCGTTAACCAGTGTGTATAAAGTCTCTGTCTTCCCCTCTGTCCTGGTTGGTTCATTGTGTGTTGTACGTATGTCGATATGTATGCTTGTGTCCCCTGTGACTTTGCCTTTTGGATTTTTCTCTTTTGTTGCTTTTTTCATTTACTTCTTTTTATTCAATTTTTTTGTTCTGCATTTGGGTCTTTTTCTCTGTCTAACCCTGAATGTCATGACATAAACAGAACTTTAATGTCCTATCCTTAACATGCAAATAAATATGAATACAGTAACAAATACAGAATTTAAATGCTTTTGTTTGCTCTCGTGAAAACACAAGGTCCTTATCATCTAACAACAAAGAAACAACAGAAATGTTAGGTAAAATGTGAGAGAGGCGAATATTCTTAAAGCTCCAGTGAGGACTTTTCTGATCGTGTAAATTTTGGCGCCCCCTGTGGACAAAACAGTACTTGCAGGAGTGGTGATTCCTGTTAAGAGTCAAATATATCTCTTTGCTGTGGAAAATGTAAAACAGGCTTTAAATACAAGTCGTCAATATACTTGCTTGCCTTTGTGGCTCATAAAGAGGCACTATGGCTAACGTCAAGTGGATAAAAACTCCTTACAGTAGCTTTAAAAAAAAAAATGACATAGTTTTGGCTCGTGTTACTTCTGACTTCATCCGAGACTCCCTCATGGAGCAGCTGTGCTTCACCTGTGTGATCCACACAGATGGTTTTCTTATTACCTAAACTCAACTGTACTCTACCCTGTATACACACGACTCATTCATGTACCAAGCAGTATAAGTTTAGCAGACGATGAAATTCCTATTATTATTTCTCTGTGTGGTCCATTTGATTGTTGCTTGCGCTGAACAGTAACAGTATAAAATCATGTCTTGCTGCAGGACTCTCGACTTGTTGCAAAATCAGACAGCTTGGATTCACAGAGCGAGAGAATATCAGCCTCAAGACATTTACATCTACAGCTTGACTGACATTACCAAGTCTTTTATTTGTGTAAATATTCAGCATGTTAACAATGCAATCATTTTGTTTAAAAAATGTATGTCTTGCTTATAGCTGGACTGAACATTTTGTAAACTTTTACACACATTAGAGGAGGATTCTGGTTTATTTTTACCTCAGGTTTATTTATCTGAGTGACTCCAGCAGAGCAGCTCTGAGGATGGAGATGGCTGTCAGCCTGCCAGTCTTTCATCTTGATCTATTGTAAGTAACTTTTAGATGGATGCTGATGACATTTTGCAATGACCTTCAATAGTTTGAGGATAAGTTGAAGAACTGAAGATGCTCAGTTTAAAAAAACAAACAAGAAAATCCAAGTTTACTGTGTTCCACCAACTAAACATGAGGAAGAAAAAGACATAAGAATAAACTGGGCCAATGTTCAAACTTTGACCTATGGACACATTTTTAAAAGAAGATAAAATAAGCAAAGACTACATTGTCCACATTGTCCACAGGGGGCGCCAAAACTGACACAAACTAAAGTTCCTCATGATGGCTTTAAATTTAAGTTTATTTATCTAGATGTTTCTTTCATGTCAGGCCTCATTGATTTTGATTCCTGCTAACTCGCTTCATTGTTGCGATTCTGTCACATCCCCAGATCCTAGCAATTACTGTCAGTACGACATACATCAAGAACAATATTGTGTCTCGGAGAGTTTGATTTAAGGATCGGGCTGCATGTCACTACAACGTCCTTGAGGCGAGTAAATAAAGCCAACTGATATATTCCTGTCTCTGATTCATAAACTAGTTTACTCTTTGCCACCATCCTTCCATATGTTGATCTTATTTATAATCTTTGATGTCCCTTGGGCCTGCAGAGAGAGTAATCTATCTCAGAGGCTCTGGCAGCAGAGGGGGAGAGGTTAAGAGCCGGTTTACCGACGCTGCATGGCGACTCACTCCTGTGATTTCCAGGCCGGCGCTCCAACACTTCAAAGGCTGGACGGACTTCTGAAGAAGCTTTGGCCTTTCAACTGCTGGCAGGGTCAGTGTGGGCCTGTGTCTTCTCACACATCTGTACGGTATCACAGCTGCAGGCCACAGGGAATACACTGCACACCCTGCACACTGTACAACCCCCTCCTCTCCAACACAAACCACACCCATTCTCACTCACAGGGATGGTCTGCGGGCCATATGGGAGAAGTCTGGATGTCAGTTTAACCTGCAGATACATACTTTACATGAACAACACCACTGTTTGATGGTCATACAACCTTTTTCCAGAACATTTAAGGCTTGATTTAACACTAAACAGCAGGTTACCTGGCAGTCCCAAGCTCCTGGGAGGTATTTTCTGTTTGTGTGAACTTTGGCCACCCCTGTGGAGAAGTTGATATCTATAAATCATGTTTTCCTCACCTGACATTGCCCTCTTACAGTGGTTATAAGCTTTAAAAAATACTATAAAGAGATTAACGCTTTTATTCATGGTCTAGATTTCTTTTGTGAGCCTGAAAAATCCATCAGTTAAATGCACTTTTTTTTATAACCAGCTAAAAACTCCTCACAGGAGCTTTAAGCAAATAAAGGTAAATTTAAACACAATCATTCATTTGGCTAATAAGGCTTTTTTTGGAAGCTCTTTGGATCGTTCAAACCCTCCAAATTAATACTAAAATGTATCAGAAGAAAGCGCATAGGAGCTAACAGAGAAAATCAGACTTTCACAGGTTTCCAAACAGACCTACTATGAGTTGGTGCAACTCAAATCAGCAGCATGTCGCAGGATTTGAAAGTTTTGTGGTCTTTATATATGATAAACAAAAATAAGTAGCCTGCGCTGGCTGAGGCATATCCTTATGTGGTCTTTTGGGGATGGTTGCAGTTGATCATCGTCTGTATTTGACCCATAGACTGTATATACTATGGACAGCTTGGTTCCAGTTTAAGGATTTGAAGCCAAAAAGTTTTCAGTAATTCCACGTTTTCTCTCCATTTCCTGAAACCAACATTGCGCAGTAGCATTGTACGCATTTGGTGGGAGAGTCGCTGAGAGACGCTGTGATGACGCTCGGCTCAAACAGCGTATCCCCCGGGTGAGCTACGCTATCTTCGTACGCCCATAGGCTGTATCAAGTGTCAATCATAGAAAACATGAACCCCCTAATAACTTTTAAAAACGGAGCTGTACAGAAAAAAGAGGACTTGAGAACAAACCAGTCTGACAGTAACTACATGTCAACCACGCAAGCAGGGGGGAGAAACATTTATATTCTGAGTAATAAATTTCTAAAGTTTGTCCGCAGCTCCATAGGGATTGATGGAGGGGGCAGGATTTATGACCAAATTCAAAAAGATGTGAAAACCTCACTTCCCAAAGTATAAAATACTGTCAGTGGAGACCCCCTTATTGTCCCACTATTCTGAATATTAACACTAATTCTTATATGTTGAACATCAATTTAAGCCAAACAAATTAATGTCATCCACCTCTGTTGCACTTTTGATTCCTACTTTTTTTCACTACTGTCTCTTATCCTTCCATATGCTTCTATCCCTCACAATAATATGCATATTCATCATAATAGTGATGAAACTGATAAGCAAACCCCATCCGGAAACCTTCTGAACAGGCTTCACCTCCACTCAAACAAACGACACAATATACCGAATCTTTGCCTTGTTTTAAAAGCATGTCGCTGTTTTCTTACTTCACTGTATTTTTGCAGCCTGTTGTTTGTATTTCAAACAGATTAGTCCAGAGTATCATTTGTTATTTGGGTTCATATACTAAACAAAGAAATAAGAAAATGAGAAATTTCACTTCTATTGTCATGGGTTGTAGTCAGAGGAGATTTAATTGGAAAGTCTTTTAAAATGTCACCCCACTGTTTGTATGACTTGAATATTCATTTCCTCTGACTGGTATTTAGAGTCAGTGACTGTGGTGTTGAAAGCGTGGTAATATTGCCATGCTCTGATGTGTCTTTTCCTCTCCGCTGCTCCGAGATGATGACTGTGTGCGAGCCTCTTTTCAGTAACCTTTGGAGGAGGAGATAAGAGGTTGAGGTCTTCCTCTAATTGCATGTTGGCCAGAGTGGAGGAAGGCTGGCGTTGTTGTCAGAGGAAGCTGCTGATCTGTAAAAGCCCCAGCAGAGCTCTGATAATTAGAGCCTTTCCTCCTCGACACTCCCACGATATGATCACAGCACTGCGGGAATCAGATGAGATGTTGCTTCAAATTAAACACAGTGATTACGACTAAGTTATGGGATTGAAATGGAGTTGATTTTCCATTAGGGACGTTAAATGAAGCAGGAGGGAATGAGAAATACGTTTTTTGATTAATAAAAGAACAAACAAAATCCTTGTAAATCTCTTGTTAATCCTAATCTTCTGACTTAATTCATTTAATACATTTATTTTAGGATGTAATTCTTTTAAAATTAGAGTTCACTACAATCCCAGTCTTGTACATGTTTTATATTATTAACTGGCTGTAAAAAAAAATACTCTATTCTGATTGGTCGAAGACCTGGTGACTTATCTTCAACAGCTGAAGCAATGCCGGACTATATTCTTTTAAATGCTTTAAAGGGGTCTTTCTCACCCTGTTAGGATCATATTTGCATAACCTACCTGCTCACTATTCATTATCCCTCATATCCTGATGCATAAAGAAAACACTGATATGTTACAGATCATCTCTGGTGGTTAAAAAAAGAAGGTAACACTTTACAATAACCATAATTTATAAATGGTAAATAGATAGTTTATTAATGTTTAATCATCATTTAAAAACAGCATATAGACCAATTATTGATGGCAAATAGATAGTTTATTAATATAAGTTAATAGTTACTTTACCACTAACAAGCAATGAAATTATGATTAATTATTTTATTGTTCATTAATGGGCTATTTATTAAAGGTTTATATAGGGTTTAAATATTGGTTGTAAAACATCTAGATTAAAATGTGTGTCAGTAGCACTTTGTAAATGGTTAATATTTGGTTTACAAACCATCTATAAACATTACTTAGATGGTTATTGTAAAGTTAGGGTTACGTTTTTAAAATTGTAAAATTTACAATTTATTATTGGTCTATATGCTATTTATAAATGATAATTAAACATTAATAAACTATCTGCTTACCATTTATAAATGGTCTATTTACCATTTAGAAGTTACAAGTATTGTCAAGTGTTACCAAAAAGTATTAAGGACCATAAAAAAAAAAAAAAAACCCAAAAAACCATACAATTCTTTGATTTTATTCCATAGGTCCATCTCCACTAATTTTCTGTTCACTTCTAGAAACCTGATTCATTAAAGCTCCTGTCTGTTGTCTATTTACTCCAACGCCCATGTCTCATGTCTGTTTATCCCTAACCTGTATACATATGAATCATGTTTTCAGTCTGTTTTCCTTTTAATCGTGAAATGTATGACTCATTGCGACTATTTGCTGAGGAAAAAGTCAATAAAGGGTCTTTCTTTACTTAGGTTTTACTGACTTCTCTGACACCTACCCCCTCACAGTGATTAAAGGTATCCAAAACTGCAATAAAGAAATTGTAGTAATTCAGGATAATGATGGAGGTTGCTCTATGGGCAACAAAATCAATTACTGTCATTTACAGTCATTTTCATAACCATTAAAAAACTCCTTACAGTAGCTTTAAGCATTTTTGAAATATACTTTTGCTTATTGAGATGAAAATCCTCTATTTTAGTTGAGTTGTTATATTAATTGAATTCAAGTGGAGATTATATACTGTTTTCTATCATTAGAAGAAATAACTCTCTGAGAAAGCGATTGCATGTTATCAGAATATTAAACATCCACCGAATGAGAAACCTCCATGTCATTATAAATAAATCAACAGTTTCCATTAACAAATACCACCATCAGTTTTTGAGCCTGTAATTGCAGAGTTATTCAAATGTAGTTTAATTAATCGGTTTCCAAAGTGCCCACCTGCTGGGAATTAAATACACTCTCTTCTACATGAGCAAATAAACAATTGCGATTTGTGCAAACAGCCTTTATTCAATAAACTGCCGAAAGCAAAGTGTATAAAAACAATCAGTGACACACTAAAGGTCACTGAGTCCCGGTTTTTAAAAAGCACCACAAAAATGTACAAGTGCAGGTAATGAAGCTTTTGTAATGGTTTACATAACTGTGTTACATAAGTTAATAAGTATGTACATAACGGCGGTCAAAGCCATTCCTCACAGTGGTTAGAATTAGAAACAAAACAGATTCCTCATCTGTAGCTGATGTGAAAATCTTCTCTTATTTAAAATTGAGTTCTGCTGTGATTTAATCTTTTTTTTTTGCTGTTGAGGCTGATGGGAGATTTCTGTCTATTTCTCATTAGCTGAAGGGAAAAATATCACACAGGCTTCGGCCAGATTAAAACTTTGATATAAAGAATGAGATGACATCAGTTAGCAGAGAGAGAGAGAGCTTATATCTGGGAACGAGATGTGACCGAACCACACAAAACAACAAACAAAGCATCCTGTTTAAATTAATCCACATTTTCACTCTTTGAACACTAACTCCACTGACAGTGCTCTGGGGGAACCTGACAGAGGTCCAAACCCTCACTTGGACTTCATCCTGGTCTGATCAGAGCAGATGTTTGTTTTTAACTCTTCCTCCCTCCTCCTCCTCCTCCTCCCCGTACAGTCATGATGTTCCCAGACGTCTCTCTCTGGACCTCTGGGCTTGAAGCCTCCTCACTGGAATCTTCATCGGCTGCTTGTTGAATTTTGCCATTATCTCTTTGATTCGCGCCAGGTTGGTGCGGCCGATGACGAAGTCGCATCTGGTGGCGCCCATCTCGTAGCCCACCTCGCACTTCTTGGTGCTGAGGCTGTAGCCCTCAGCTCTTGCTGTGACCCGGTACTCTCCGGGGTTCAACAGGCGCCAGTAATCACCATCAGCAGCTTTAACACACAACAAAAACACAACAAAGTCACCTTTTTTAGCCTATTTTGTACTTTTTTTTTTACTTCAAGCTTCAAGAAATTTAAGAAACCGACTGAATCCATATTGATGCCTTTTTATGGCATCCAAATACAAATAAGACCACCAGGGACAAGATTAACCACTTGTATAATGTCACTTTTTACTGGCATAGTAGGTGTTTCACAGTTTACACAGAAAATATTCACGATAAAGGACATATTTGACAATCAAAAGTCAGCAAGGTTAGATTTTTTATTAAGAGACCAGTGTTGTTTTTGTTGATGACGAAAATATTTCGTCAACACCCCTTTTTTTTAACGACGAAGACGTGACGTTGACGAGCTAAACATAAATCTTAGATGACTAAAATGTGACTAGACGAATGTGCGTTTACGTTGACGAGACTAGACGAAAACGAACAGAGTTGCAAAATTCATGAGCATTTCATCAGTCAAACGCTAAACGTATATATCTTTGACGAAAATATTTCATCAACGTCATCGTCAACGAAAACAACACTGTAAGAGACGCTATTTAAAGTAAAAAATACTGGGATATCCCTTTAGTAGAAGTAGCAAACTTTAATCTTTCAGTGTAAAGACTGTCATGCTGTTTGCAGGTGTTTTTCGAACCTCAACCCAGATTTGCTTCTCACTGACAGATATGACATTTCATCTTTAACACCATGAAAAATGTGTTTCTCTTCCTCTCCTCTTCCTGAAAGGGCAGGAAAGCATTATCTAAACTTCCTTGAGACTCTCAGAAACTTTTGCAAAATCCTAATACAATTCAGTCAGGTTCATTTCTTCATTTACTAACAACTCAAGTCAATTAGATGGTCCCTGCACATGCCAGTCACAGTCAGCCTAGAGAGTACAGTATATTGTCGAGCTCAGAGGGCGGCTTATACCGGTGAAAATCTGTCTGTAGTTTGCTGTTGACCTTATTAAGCCTGGAAAGAGGCGCCGCTTTTGTTAAAGCCATGAAAAGCTGATGGGTCTCTGAGTCTGGGAAGCTAAATCTCAGAGTATAGTCCAAGCTCCTCAGACTATACCTGGATGAAAAATGATCAGGAGATCTCATTTATGTGTCCTGGGAGCTCACTAAAGTTTCTCACAATCTAAGTTTCCCAGTTTCAACTCCCATAGTATATTTCTTCCACGACCCTTCTTTGTTATTGTTATTTGTTTGTTTGTTTGTTTGCTTTAGTAACAATTTTGTCAAAGGGTCAAGTGTCAAGGTCTGGAACTAAACCTTTGGCCATGACTCTCAGTTAAAGTCATGATCGATGATTGGAGAGATTGGTAATTATTATGAACCTCGTTTATATGGCAAATCTGCCTCAACGGTTTATTTTTTTTCAACTGCCTCTTAGATCGTCAACCATGCCTTTAAACACCACTATCCAAACCTCTTAGTTAAATCAAAAGTCTTTCAGGTTGCAACTTAAAGGGGATAATTAAAAAGGCAGTTTTGTTGTCGGCACTTTCAGTGAGCATTGAACCCCCACTTTGCCCTGTGGTAATTAACCTTCCATCCCTGAGGCTTTCATGCACAGAGGTCCATCTTAACGAACATTTAAGGTAAATCAAAACAAGCTGAAGAGTCACACCTGATTTCAGCAACAACAGCAGTATGTTAATGTTGTCCTAGAAAGCTGATTTTAAACAGCTTACAAAGCAGCAGCAAAAAAAAGGCAGACAGCACATAAGTTTTCATCCAAAGCCTTAAATTAAAGTTGAAGTGTTCTTTGTGCTCCACTTTTTAGAGGAGAGATGTTGTGTGTTCCTGTTTGGACTTTTAAAAATAGCTCTGCTTTGTCATGTTGGATTTTCTGCCTGTATGTGACCTGAGAACGCTTGTGCTGTATTTTCAGCCTTTGACTCATTCGCAGAAGCAGCAGCAGCAGATTCCTCTTGGTCATCTAAACGCCCACCTCACATATTTGGCATTATGACGGATGAAATTTAATATACAGTGTCCGTCTGACATTGATCTTATTGTTTCCTGAAATGCCTCAGCAGAAATGCTGTTAAATGAAAAACTTTTCGTCTCATAAACATCATTCAGCCATCGACTCTTTTGTTCCTTTCCAAATGTTGGTCTGTGACGGTTCAAGTGTTTCCAGAGCAAAGTAAAAGCAGCTGAAAATGTACAACTTTTAAATAAAATACCCTTAAATCTCAGGAGAACATTAAGGTGTCTGAGAGGAAGCTGCGACTTATACTTAGATCCAAGAATAATAACGCTTAATGTCCCTTTTTGGACATTCGATTTCGCGCTTTGAGAGCAAAACTGCTTCAGCTTTGAAGGTTGCATTTTTTAGGCATCTGCAGCAATTACCTTCAGGATGCCATGCTCAGTAGTCGGATTCTGAGCAGACAGTGTCTGTGACTATGATCTGAGTCAGACTCTAACCTGCAGCGCAGCTAAAATTCACCAGCTGCCTCTATTTAAGCTTATTTATTCTGTCTTACTCTAGAATACTAAGTTACTGTAAAAGTGACTCATTCCTGAGGGATAACCTGAATTATAGAGACAGCTGAGTCACTGCGCCCTGAAATAACCTCATCTGCTTTGATGGCAAGATTCGAGCACAGACGCTTATGTAAAATTTGAGGGATTATGGGAAAATATCCACATGCTGCTAAACACATGGTGTGAGATCCTTGAGTGCAACAACAAAACAATTACATCAAAATATCTTGTGAAATGAGATATTATACCTGTGCAAACATCATGACTGATTCCCTCCACAGAGATGGTAGCATTAGCAATCGGGCGACCTTGCAAGTCCCTCACCACACCTTTGATCCCACGATGCACCTGTACATGAAAAGCACAGCTTTTGTGAATCCACCCAGAGTTTACCCGAGAAACCTCTTCTTACTTATTAATCATGATGTATATTAAATGAAGCGATGATATCATGTATAATGTATGATCTTGAGTTTAACAGAGCAGTTAAGCCTGTTTTTGTATCTCTCCTCCTCATCCGCCTTCAATATTTTAACAAAAGCTGTGTCCCTACAAGGCGGTGGATCCTCTGAAGTCCACCACTAGAGAGAATATAACATAAGCAGATGACAAGCTTGTCTTATTTCAAAGTCGTCTCAAAGTACGGCTGAGAATGTCAATTTATTCTGCAGGAATTCAAAAAACACAACTTTCAATATCCTCAAATCCACAGTGCTCTGGTCTGTTATTAGATGAGGCATTCAGTGAAACTTCATAAACTCATCTTAAATTATAGTTAATTTATTGCAGAATATACTTAAATGTACTTGCAGCGTGCAGCCAAAAGGTAACTACAGCGGTAGAAACTAGAAATTGTTGTTCATCTCGGATTATGGAGAATTTCTAAACATCTCTAAAGTGAAGCAGGTACTTTTTTTTCCATTGTCCATTAAATGTTAAAATAAGCTATTGGAGTTTGCCGAAAGGTTATCTCTGCAATACTGTAGGATAAGAAGTGATGTTAAACAATGTAATATATTATGTGACAGTGCAGTGCAAATCAATACAATATGAAATAATATACCATAGAACACAACATGATGCCATTCAATATGCATAATAGAATCATAAAATCATATATGTTATGATTCTATGTGATGTGAAATGACATGACATGAACTGCTAGAACACAAAATGGTACACATGACAGGATAGAATAGAGTAGGATAGGGCGTGCTATGATATAATAGGATGGGCTTGGACAGGACAGAACAGAATAGAAATTCATACTGTATGTTATGATAAGAAATAGTATGATACAATACATAATAATAGGATATAAAATTTAACAATATAATATGATACATCGCAATATGATACGATGCCTCATGGTAAGATATGATATGATATGATATGATATGATATGATATGATATGATATGATATATGATATGACATAAAATGATATGATATGATATGATATGACATGGTATGATATAATATAAAATAATATGATATGACATGATATGATGTGAAATGATATGATACGACATGGCATGACATGACATGACATGACATGACACGATATGATATGATATAATATATGACATGATACAATATGACATGACATGACATGATATTATATAATATATGGTTAAGTACTGTATGATATGGAACATTTCAATAAATTACAGTTTAACATGATAAGATTTAAATTGATATGATGTATAAAATGATACATCATACGATAATACATGAAAGTTACGTTTTGATGTGATAAGATACAAGAGGATGCATTTTGTTGTCCCGGGTGATCTCTAATTTGAACTCAGAAGCTGCACATTTTGCTGCAGTTTATAAATGCGAGCATGTTTTTCTTCTCGAGTGAAAGAAAAGGCCTGAATGGATGATTAATTTTGCTCTCTGTGTGCTAGACCTGTACCAATTTGCTCATTGGGCCTTAATAAAGCCCTCATTAGCGGAAACCATGGTGTGAAAAAGATTTGGACAAACTTAGGATCAGAATTGTAGCACAGTCGTCCGAAAATAACTTGAGAATGACAAAAAGCATGTGCCTGCGTGTGTTTCTGTGATTACTGTGTGTATGTGTGAGCTGCGGGGGCTGCCTTGTCTCTGTACCTGCTCCATGAAGACAAGAAGAGACTCGCGATTGTTCTCCCACTCCTCTGGCAGCTCGCTCTCATGAGGGAATTTGTCACAGCCCACATACATCGACAACTCAAAGCAGTTGGTGTGCAAATAGCTGAAATCATTCAAACCTGCCAAGAAGGAGAAACATATCTGAGGGCCGTTGTCAGCTTAGGTCAGAATTTTGGCTTTTTGTCAGCTGCAGTTTTTTGGTGATTCTAAAGTCTGGCTTTGTTTGTTTTTCTTTGAATTCTTACATGATGCTTGGAGGTAAATCTTAGAGGCTTTGAAACAGCCAAAGGGCTCCGGGCCTGAATATGCAGATGTGCTCATGTGTGCTAAACAAAGCTACAGCTCAAAGGCTCAGAGCTGAGCAGAGAAATCCTGCAGAACACAGCATTAGGATCAGAGAGAAAACACACAGGAAGCTTTGGACACTAACTGCCAGCCGCCGTGTGCCAGGACGCCCCGTTTATGGTGCCGTCTTCTTTGGCGAAATCCTCCGTGTGGCAGACCCTTCTGTTAGCGTCAGTCATCAGGCGGTGGGTGGAGGCGTATGAGAAGGCCAGCCAACGGAAGACGTGGTCGTCTGGGGTGGAGGTTGGCTCTCTGGTGACCCCTTGGGAGCGAGTTTTATCGTATGGGAAGGTCACCACCAGCTCCCCGCCCTGGAGGTTACCACCCAGCACGAAGGATATCTTCTCCATCCACGCTATCAGAGCGCGTGTCTCCACGGCAACCTGCGGTGGGGGACACAGGAGAGGCGGCCGTAATATAATTTGTGCAATCATCTCAGCGTTGTGATTGCTAAATTAACTCCCTCATGCTGAAAATAATTTCACTGTGATGTACTCTCACGAGGGAGCTGTAAAGCCATCAAAAAGATGATTCGCACTCCCAAACTGTAAACTAATTTGATTAAAATCTATCCTGAAAAGCAGACAAAGTTTTAATAATATACTTCAATATGCCAGCAGGAAATATGTTCCTTTCTGGCAAGGAGTGTACACCACATTTTTCAGTAAATATAAAGTTTAGTTTTGACATTCGCAAAAAAAGTCAGGATAAATATTTCCATGTTACAAATCAAGATGTGGATGAAACTGGACCTGCTGTTCAGCCTCGTATAATTAAAGCAGTCCCCCTGTCTCTTAGCCCTGATTGGGCCAGTCAATGAGGCGAGCGAGGCGAGGCGAGGATGCTTTTCACAGCTTCCTGAGCACAGATGGGGATCCCAGCCCTGCAGCTGCAGCAGCTATTCTGGAGGCTCTGTGTGACTCACTCGATGCTCTCGGTAACGTCAAACCACTCGTGAGGATGAGCTTTAAATAGATCGTTGGGTGTATTTTCGCTCCCGACAGCTCCGTCACAAATAGACAATGTACATGCACATGCCTCTCTGGAAATAGACGGAGCTAATATGCCTGCGTTGGTCTTTTTTTTTATCCTTTATAAGAGAGGGAGGGGAGGTCTTCACTGTAAGTTTGTTTGTTAAATTTGAGGAGGGGAAAACAAGGACATGAAAGTATAATTTATCATCAGGGAGGATGTCAATGAAAACTGAATACCAAACATAATTTAAATACAGTACAACAAAGGGGGGTGAAATAAAATGCTAGATAAACCTCCATTATTAAAGCTACTGTTAGGAACTTTTAGACAGAAGTTAGTCGAAATCTTCCTGCTTCATTTTTAAAGTCCAACATGTCACTCATTAGTTACTACAACTGGCACCTAACCCCAGCAAGTGGTTTCAAACTTTAAATAAAAATATGTAGAGGTAGTCCATCCTTATGAGGCGTGAGTAAAATCATCTACTCGCTTAATTCGTGCGAATCTAGACGGGTGAATGAATAGCATTTACTCGCTTCATTCACGCGTCAGTGGTAATTTCGATCAAGCGGGATCAAGTGATACACAAAGGTTTTTTACAATTTACCAGATAATCCGACCTCCCTCTGGTTTCGGTAATTGAAAGACAAGGTATAATAAAATTTGGGGCACCTAAACACCCACACGATCAGTTTGTCCTCCATTTTAGATACCAGTGAACAACTGTTTGTTTTCATACGTCACCTGGCAACCTTCGTGTTCATTAGCTATCATGGTGCGAATATCCGCTCAAGTTGAGACATTTTCAGCTCACGCCCAATTCATGCCAATCACGCCGCCAGAGTAGTAGGAGCGTCTAATCGCGTCTTTGCATTGACTTTACATCTAATTCATTCGCGCGAATGAGTTTACTTGCGCTTGGTGTGTGGAGACAGTTATGCTGATGGTCTGATTTTGGTTATAAAAAAACATCATTATTTGTTTCAGTGTGTTTCATGGCTGGATAAATACTCCTCATAGGTGTCTCTTTTAGTGTGTGGTCTTTTGCCTCATGTCTTTTGAGCCTACATACTGTTTATACATGAAAAAACATCTCAACCAGATCAATCAATTTGACATTAAATGTGTTTCAAATACGAATGATTTCTACTAACTGATGCGTTTTTGGTCAGGTACCACTCCGGGATAGCAACATGGTGGTTGAGCATTTTGCGAGGGATCCACTTCTTGGCTTCAGCTTCCCACAGTATGGAATTGAGATCAGGGAAGTTATGGTGGATGTCTATTCCATCATTGCTCCACCGGCCTAGAGACCAGCCGCTGAGCTCTGAACCCTGAGAGAGATAAAAAGAGCAGAGTTCAGTATGAAGGAAAAAAGAAGTCAGATAGTTGTGAGTTTAATTATAGTTAGAGCTATGATAAGATAATAGGTGCTGTTTAATGTAGTATAATGGTTTCATGTGGAGTGCATAGTCATCCTTAGCAGGGGTGTTACATCTATGAGGGGTAAAAAAAGTACATTAGCACTTGAGATACTGTAGTAGTCTACAGGAGCAGTGTCTCTTGAAGTGGCTGTTCTCAATGGTCCAAGCAGTACAGATGAAAAGGTAGAATGATAGCTGGACATTTCATTGTCTCAAAACATGCAAATGGAATCAGCTGGAAAAAACAAAGGACACAACAGGCCACATACAAACACTTCCCAACTCCGGCAGGGCATATCTCTCTTACTCTCTTTCTGTCTGTGTGCTGGTGGCTGTAACCTCTCTCTCCCTCTCGATGTGCATCTACTCACCTGCTCTCTCCTCCTCTCTGTCTCTCATCTGCTTAGCAAAAGCTCTGGCTGTGCTGTGTGGCCTGCTCCTCTGTCATCTACTGTCAGAGAGGATGTGCTGTTTCATACATGAAACTGTTAATTAGCCTTAGTCACTTCTTCGATATTGACCACCTCACATCTTTAAAAATCAGCTCATGAACTCCCTCACCGTTTTTTTTTTGGCTATTTGACAGTTTACCGTAATAGGGGTGGGGGGCATTGTGATTAAAATAACTTTTGAGTTTATGCTTAACAGGCCAAACTATGGTGGACAAGTGAAATGTTTTTGAGCACTTAAATGGATATTCCCGCATAAAATTAAGTTAGGGTCAAAAACACTGTACACCGAGTTAGACACCGCGTTGAGAGATGAATGTTGCCGACTGCTTGCATCTCTAGTTATACCAACTTAAGTAACAGCCGCAGGTTAGCATTACACAGCGGTCTGAGGAGCCACACACAAACCTCAACCTAAACGCCACTCTATAGCCACAAATAATGATCAGAACAGCACCTAACTTCATCAACAGTACATATAGGGTCCTATGATAAAAATGAAATGATAAAGTAATGATCAAAAATGTTCTTCCTTAAGCTGCGTCACCCTGCTGCAGTCCTTCATGGACTGGCCCAAGGACTCGCTACAAACAAGCGGCTGCTGGAAGAGAGTAGGTGAGTTGTGTTTAGTCTCTTTGCCAAAGAAATTAGGCAAAGCTAGAAAGATGTTTGGTGGCTAGTACTGTGGCTGGGACCCTATATGTACTGTTGATGAAGTTAGGTGCTGTTCTTAGTATTATTTGTGGCGTTTTGGTTGAGGTTTGTCTATGGCTCCTCAGACCGCTTTGTATTGCTATCCTGCGGTCGTTGCTATAGTTGATATAACTAGAGGAGCAAGTGGTCGGCAACATTCATCTCTCAAGGGGGTGTCTAACTCGGTGTTACGACCCTGTATTAATTGTACACCTGAATATTCCTTTAACCAAGTAATAAAAATAAGATTTTTATTTAAATCCAGTTTTTCAAAAATGATCCCAGCAGATGTTTAAACAGTCAGAGGACCCCATTCTGCTGCTCCTTCACCGGCCTCACTGTGCTGGAAAGATTCATCACTTTAAACGGTGCATGTTCATGCAAATTTTCACTCAAGCTGACATGGGAATCATTTATTAAGGGTACTATTAGCTTCTTTGAAACAGGGTTACAACATCTACAGTGTAATCACACATCAAGGCTCAGAAGGACAGATGTCAGTGACTGCACAGAGGCCAAGCTCTGCCTCTTTTAACCTCCCTCATTTGTCTTTATCTATTCGTGTCTCATTGATTTCATGCCTTTAATCTTGCAGGCCTGTGTTTGATTACAGCCCATGCTCAAGAACATGTGTCTCAGTGGAATTTTACTAAAGAACAGGCTGTCCACTTCTGCTATGTTCGCTTATAAAAAGACTCATAAACCCATTTCCTAAAATCCACCTTCTCCATATGGTGTGAAGGGGGGGAAGAGGCCCTGCTGGGCAGATATTTCTGCCTTTCCACCAGAGGCCAGTGTGTGATATGAGGTCATTAGCGCAGACCTACCGCTTCAAAGGCTTTCTCGTACCCATCGGGGTTGACAGATGGCAAGAGATGGATCCTGGTCTCCTCCACCAGGTGACGGACCCGCTGGTTGCCTGACAGATACTCCAGACACATAAACTGCATGAGCAGGAGGATCAGCTCCCGCCCCAGCACTTCGTTACCATGGGAACCTGCTGTGTAACGAAACTCTGGTTCACCTGGTCAGCAGGTTTATGTAAGAGAGGGAGGAGAGACGATAAAAGAGGTTAAACATGCAATTGAAAAAGAATCACAATGTGGCAAATCTAATGTCATTTTGATTGTACTCATCAATCACGTCCTGTTGAAGACACTCACCCACTTCATGCTCTCCTGGGTTGTCAGTAATCTCGATGGCGTAAAGCTTGAGGCCACCGTGGCTCTTTCCTATGTTATAGATGCGGGTGATGTTGGGACACATTTCATTGACCACCTTCATAAGCTGTGAAAGGTTAAGAAGCACAAGTTTATGAAATTACAGTATTTAAATGTTTTTTAAAGATCTTACTTTGATACCTGCAGTGTTCTCTAAGAGACCATTACAACTTTGAAACATGTTTTGTTGATTAAAAGAAGAACATTTGACATTTGACAGTTACAGTCAGAGTTATAGTAATCGATGCAAAAGTTCCTACACAGTCAGTCAAGGTTCATGAACTGCAAATGTTAAAGGGCTATTCCGGCATACAATTAAGTTAGGGTCAAACACACTGTAACACCGAGTTAGACACCGCCTCGAGAGATGAATGTTGCCGATCACTTGCTTCTCTAGTTATACCAACTTTAGTGATGACCGCACAATAGCAATACACAGTGGTACCAGGAGCCATGAGCTCAACCAAAACGCCACTCTATAGCCACAAATAATTCTCAGAACAGCTCCTAACTTCATCAACAGTACATATAGGGTCCCAGCTATAGCACTAGCCACCAAACATCTTTTTAGCTTTGACTAATTTCCTTAGCAAGAGACTAAACACAACTCACCTACTCTCTTCCAGCATCTGCTTGTTTGTATGGACAACTCAGCAGTCCATTACCGCAGCGGAGTGACACAGCTCAAGGAAAAGTTTTTTTTTTCTTGCTTCTATTCTTTCTTATTTTTCTTTTATATGTAAACAGTATTTTGAATTACAATGTTACAGCTATAAATGTTGTGTCTGTTCAGCCTTTAAATAGCTCAAAATAACCTCCATAGTTTTGAAAATAAAAAAAATTATATTTAAACAACATCTGTTACAGGTTTTTTTAAGCACTCCAACAAGGAGTAAATGTAATTGTAAAGACAGACCTGTTGAGGAGCTAACTCAAACAGCAGGAACTATAAACACATAAATCCAAGAGTGGAGACAGAGAAAGTGCATCTGGTAAAGGACTAACAAGCTGTTAAGTAAAGCGACCACCTTAATGCCACAAATCAGAGTTTGCTTTCTCTTCCAGCTGCTGCAAAAGCCATTAACCAAACAGGACTGATGGCATTTTAATGAAGTCTTGGGTTGAATTTTAATTTTTCTTACCAAGACAATCATTAAACAAATGTCTGGTTTGTTCATAAAATAAATGACTAGAAGTTGGCAGAAGAGTTCCTCCTCCTAATTGGTTTTATATTTATATAAATGTATATTTATCTGGATTGCATTTCTTATGATCAACGTCAAAAATGTTGTCTTTCAGGTAGAGGTTTCACCTAAAATATGTGGCTATCTTCACTTGAGAGGGTCTTTATTTCTTCCCACAGAGAGGAAGATTGTGTTTAAATCTACTTGTACAGACTTAACTTTCTGCTTCAGCTAACACAATCATTCACGATACAGTAGGCGTCTTGGCCCAGGATGTGCAAGGGTAATCGAAGGTAATATGCCGTCTTCCTGCTGAAAAATGTGGGGAATGTTCTTGCTGTGCACCTTCCTTAAAACGCCTGACAATATCAGTATTCCTAGTGAGGCCACAGGACAATCAGTTGAGATCTCAGGAGAGGACAGCCCTTAAGTAATACAATAAACATATTTTTCACTCCTGTTGTGGGGCTAAAATGGGCTATTTGGACTGTGGGGTTTTAACACAGCCCTGCTTTAACTGTTGTGGATGAAGGGGTGATAATGCAGCATGTACCTGCTCGGAGAAAAGAAATGTCAAGTGTGAAAGAGCTTTTAAAAATAGTCCTTCCTTTTATTGTGAAGGTCTATTGAGGCTGCACACCCTGCTTGTCACACATTCGCTTAAAAAGTGCAGATAGACGGCAAAGAAAAAGACATTTAATTCACTCTGAGGGTCTATTTTTCAGGAGAATCCACCTGGAGAAAAAACTGCTATTGAACAATGAACCATACATCGGGAGCATACATTCACATTGTGGGTCATAACAGCAGTTTAAGACATCTGTAGGCAACAGGAGAGCTGCTGAATTACAAGCGATTACGATGCACAGCACTTGTACCTTGACAAACACTCAGTCTCAGTGTTAGATGTGACAAATACAGCTGTCTCCCCGCTCAGGCTACTGCTCATGACAACTATATGAATAAGTAATGACACAACCCAGGAGATGCTTAATGCATTTTCATGTGGCTGGCATCGCTCGCTTCATTTGTTACCGTTGCACACTTTGTTCTTGCAGAGGACACAACTTGTCTGCTGCCGGCTCACGGTTAGAGGAGATGTTTTATAACGCCACGCGAAGACTCTTTGGGTCTTTTGCTGAATAAGAAGGAAGAAGAGCTGGGGTTTCTGCTGATGCTGTCTGTCTGTCAGCTGTGACTCACCTGCCTCATTTCCTTGTAGCTGTGGTGCCGGAAGTCCAGGTCGTCTGTGGTTATGACTTCATTACGCCTGTGGTAGTAATTATTTGGATCTGAGTGAAATCATAAAAATATAGAGTTAGTATGAGAATTGATATTTAGAGATTAAAGGAGGTTAGTCAGGGCAGGTGTGTGGAGGTGATAAATGCTTAACACCTGCTCTGATTACTCTGTCTTAGACGAAGTTGAGCTTTATTACAAAAAACAAAGTAAATCACAGTTTTCTTTCTACCTCAGGTGGTTTCTAGGTATACAAAGATGATTCAGATTTTGCATTAGTATACAGTATTTAGTAAATTAAGGGTTCCTAGCCTTTATCGATATTATGTACTTCAATCAACCTTCAGCTCAGCAACCCAAAGAATATAAAAGTCAAGATATCCTGTTTTATTTTTTGTAGCCCACCTACTGGGAATACAGAGCTTCTACGAGGCAATCTGTCCATACAAAGCCGTCACCTGGCATAGGACAGCCAAGGATCTCCACTCTCATACAGATGCTGCCGATGGGGAACCAGGAGTTAGGGTTGACCCGAATGTATCGAGCAACTACCGGTACGGGAAAGATGTTTCGGACTGGGATCTCCTTTTCCCTGTTCGCGAGGAAGATCTACTGAGACAAAGACGACAGACCATGAGGGTTTAGTTTCAGTAATTTACTTATTCATGCATTTTTTTTGTGTAAAAAGGCCTTTCGACTGAAAGCTTTTAACAAGTAGTTTAATCGTTCAACATTTAGTGGTCACATCTCAATTTTAAGTAAAAACATCCATCTAACAGGAGGCTTTGCTGTGTTTCTTTGACAGTTGAAATGTGGTACCACACAGTGAGGCATAATCCATTTCCAAGTCCAAACGCCCCATCATCCACTTCAAAAGGCTTGTTTTTCACTGTTCGGTTCACTTGTAAGCCAAAATATTGTCAATATACATATGTCATCTGTCATCAACACATATAAGATTTAAACCAGAACCAGATGCCTCCTCGACTTGTACCATAGTATCATCTTGCCTTGATTTAGTCTCCCTTTCGGCTTTCTACCCTACATGTTTTAAAGTTTAGCACTTTTTTATAAACTCAGCAGCTGTTTAAACATCTAGCTTATAACAGCATTTGATTTATGGTAGCTATCAAAGATGAGTCTGGTCCTGCTCAAGGTTTCTGCCTGTGAAAGAGAAGTTTTTCCTCAGCATTGTAACTTGCTAAATACTGCAAAGTGCTTCACTCATGTTGGATGAAATGGGTCAAATCTCTCCCATAAAAATGAATGGTCTAGACCTGCTCTTTTGGAGAGCATATTTGTCATGATATGTTCTGTTAATTCAGTTTTTCTCCGTTTTTGTTATTTGAGTGTATTTCCCTGATGTTTTCAGTGTTTTATTCTTTAGATCAGTTTTCAGTGTTTCCTGTTTTTATTTTGTAGTAGTTGATTCCTTGTGTTTCTAGTCTGGTTTTACTTTCCTAGTTTTCCCTCCTTCGTTAATCACTAACGAGTTTCATCTGTGTCTTGTTTGGCACACCTGTTGCTCGTTAACCAGTGTGTATATAGTCTCTGTCTTCCCCTCTATTCTGGTTGGTGTGTTTGTCCTTGTTTATGGTGCATCCACAGTGAGTCCCCAGTGATTTTTGGTTCTTTGGATTTTTGTTTCTCGTGTTTTTTTGCTTTTGGACATTTAAGGTAAGTTTTTGCTGCCTGTCATTTAGTTCATTTTAAATAAATCATGTTTTGTTCTGCATTTGGGTCCTTTCCCTCTTTGTTTAACCCCTAACCGTGACAATCTTGGGATAACGACTGTTGTGATTTGGCGCTGTATAAATAAAGATTGATGAAGTTTACAAGAGTACATTTACCAGTTATACTAACTTCATAGAGCTTAACTGATGTTACATATTCAGTGGTTCAAGAACACTTCATCCATCTCTTGGTAAAACACACAAATACGAGCCTTTTTAGACTGATTTGCTAAAACAGTGGTAAATACAGAGCTAGCTAACACAAAAGCATGACACACGGCGGCGGCTTTGACCTGGAAACATTTCGGTGAGAAACTGGTTTAATCTCCGACGAGATTAAACATCTAAATAATAAAACACTAAGTCATCAAATATGAAGTTCGCAGTAAATATTGAAGAAGCATTCGGGGTTATACTAAACTCAGTAAGATCATGCACGAGATGGTAAATAAAGATCCACATAACCCCTTCACTAACGTTTGTGCCCTTGCAGAACGTCACCAAACCTTTATACCATTGGGGTTTTATTGTAAATTCTAACGCCCACGGTTACGGTTCCCTCCCTGCACCTCTTGGCATTTTGAAAGACAAACAGTGCAGTTTGGCATTTGGCATGAAAGGTGGGCGAGTGGGTGAACGGGGAAGCTCGTAGCAGAGACTAAATCACTGTAGGGGCATTAGCTCCCACATCAGTGACGTCACCGGCCAACGGAGAGTACAGCTAGGCTAATATTTTATCAGTAAAGCTCTAAGAGGATATGATTTCCCCTCCTAAATATTTATTCAATTTGATCTGCCTCATTATTTAGACTGGATTCTTATGGTATTTTTCCACTGCTGAATTCAGGGGTGTAGCTTGGGCGTTTCGTCAAGGCATTCCTCGCTTTACTTTCTGTCTGCTGAGTTAAATCAACAGCCAGAAGTAAAAGAGACGCAGCTTTGACAATCACAACCAGGACGAGTTTCCCATCTGCTCGAGCATCATCAGTATTTACTCTCGCCTCCCAGCTCATTAAGCTCGGAAATTAGCAGAGATCTGAATCTTTCTCCGTAATTGCTCAAACATGAATTCATTTTTCCTCCAGGTTTCAGCGAATCCTCCTCGAGGCTTCTTATGTAGTATGTTTACATAAAGAACGAATGATAATTCTTGAGCTCTAAAGCGTGAACAGCGCAGAGATAATTGCCTCCTCTGTTGTTGCTCACCAAGTCCTCAGAGCCGTTCTTCAGCGTTATCCAGGTGTGGCTGTCATTGCTCACCATGACTTTGTACGAGGTCACCCAATCGCTCCTGTTAAAGTTAGAAAATCAGGTCACAAGTTGAACAAAATAAATTTCCTCTCAGGCTGGTTTTAATGCAAATGGATCTCTAGGGTGACAGCGAGGAAGTCTCTCCTCACACATCCAGACATGTTAATTCCCACTGGGGTGAAAGTCTGTTTCAAAATAGAAGAATGGAGGTCAAAGAAATTTATTATGAACTTGTCATTTGAGTCTTTTATTATGAAAAGTTTCAGAATCGGAACAAAAGTTTATTGCTTTTTAATGACAGGAAATTCACTTTTTGGTCTTTAGCAAAATTTCAAGATAAGGTTGAGAAACCGATTGTGCTGCTTTGACAAAAATAACTACAAATCCAAAAATTAATTGACTTTTTATTGTCAAGTAAGTGATTTCCATAATGAGTAGAGATAAGAGGGGGAAAAAAACAGCTGTCTGGAAGAGACAACCTTGACAAGTCATGCGTGCACTTTAGACGGTTAACAAAAACGGGAAGTGAACAAAAGTGGGAGTTTAGAGGCAAAAACTTTGAAACACATTGTTCCTGTTCTCTAGACGTAGCTAAGCCAGAGCACAGAAAGGTGAAGCATTAAAAAAAAACAATATTTTCTAAGTCTGTCTTCAAAGATGACTCATTGTCTCATTTTTTCAGATGGAGCCTCTGTGTGTGTGTGCAGTATGCAGGTTGGCAGAGACTCCTGGCCTCTGGATGAAGACATCAGTGCTGAGCTGGTCCAGCCTGGTAAGAATTCCCAGATCTGTTAATTAAAGCTCTGTTATAGACAGAAGCCCCTGAGCTGGCACCACAGACAGTTACATGCCCTGCAGAGCTAATTGTGGAGAAAGTCTGTCTCAGGCATCAGTGTTTTCTGCACCCTCAGATCGTGCTGGCCGTAAAGTAAAGGCTACAAACACGGTCTGGTAAAGAAATTCCCCATGCTCTCATAGTGCAGTACGCAAGCAGTTTCCACCAGCCTGTGCCACCCATTCCAATTAAGAAAAGCAAAGGCCAAAAGTTGTCAAATATTATTAAAGAGGAAAGTTAAAGATGTTAACAGAAAATGGATTTATGCTGTCTGAACAGCTCGTTGGAGACATGGCCTCAACCTGATGTCAGATTTGATAAGTGTTATTTAGACAGTGCTAAAAGATGAGCCCACCCATCAGCTCTGTCAAGGACGGCATGCAAGTGGAACTGGAAAGTCCATTTCACTGCGCCACTTTTTTCTCTGTGTTGAATCAGTTTGCTTTTAAAAGTTGCATAGTGGCGTCCTTTTCACTGGGAAGGAACTATTTTTTCTTTCCAGAGATGAAGGAACCAGAAAACAGAGGGGAGGTTTTTTTTTTTCCAGGGCGGCAACAGCCACAAAAAAAGTTGTTTCACTTATGACTCTTTTGTAAACAAAGGCCAATATAAGATGGATTTGCATCTCACTTATTACTTATTACTACAGTTACAATTGGGTGCCAAGAGCCAGCTATAAACATTTTAATTAAAAGCATAAATAAAAAACTAATTTTGTGACCACAAAGCTGTGTAAAAGGTAACACTCACAAGCTGTATAGTGGTTTATAGCATGCAAGTAATACTGGAAAATCCATTTCACTTCTCCACTTTTTCTCTGCTCTGCTCTTTGTTGAATTGGTATGTCTTTAAAAGTTGCATAATAGCGTCCTTTTCACTGGGAAGGAAAGTTGTGACTATTTTCTCCTTTAAGAGACGAAGGAACCAGAAAATAGAGGGGAGGTTTTATGTTTTCAGGGTGACAACAGCCACAAAAAAAAGATGTTTGTTTCACTTGTGACTTTTTTTGTAAACAAAGGCCAATACAAGCTGGATTTGCACCTCACTTATTACTTAAACCATCTTTCAAGAGTGTCCACAAAGGCTTGTAACCAAAAACTGGAAGTAGCTAACTTCCTTTAGGTGCTATTGGGAGCCAGGAGCCAGCTATAAACATTTCTGGTAAAAACATAAATAAATTAGTCATTTTGTTACCACAAAGCTGTGTAAAAAGTAACATCCATAAGCTGTATAGTGGTTTATATAACTTAAATAAAGGTTTACATGGACTCCAGTATAAGATTAATAGAGTTTTTGTGCTGCAAATCATGCAAAGCTACTCTTAAGGTGTCCCAGATCAACATTATTTAATGCAATAATTATTACAATAGGTTCAAGCTAGTATGTTTGGGCAACTTTCTAAGATGACATACTTTGCACATGAGGACTTCATGTATTAAACAAAAATGCATTTTAAATGTGATTTTTCACTAACATTGTCAACATTTGGGTCATAATAAATGCATTTTAGTTACAGAAATAAATAAAAAATAAAGAAATAAAGCATAAGTTTGTGAATTTAAACACTGAGTCATATTTGTGCTTTTTTAAAAAACTCTATAAAGCTAAATGAATTCAAAACAGTAACTATTTTGAGCCAGTGATTGCCATTCAGTGTGTTTGGCTGAAATCATACATGATAATATATGATTAACCTCGACACAGGTACCAAATAATTTGTGTTCTTAAAGGTTGGGTCTAAATTCAGAGTCAACCTTTGCAGGATATTTCTGCATGCTCACAAAAGACCGAGCTGTGATGTATGGAGCTGAGTCAGTGGGAGGTGAGATTATACCAGTGGCTTTGTATTTAAAAAGGAAGATGAGGTGTCATGGAGATATTATGGTACCGTAATTTATACCTTAACAAGCTTTAAAGAGCTTGTTAGTAACGTACAGCCGGGTGACTCAGTGGATAGTTTAACATAAAATCTCTACTTTTATGCTTTCCTTATTTTACCCATTAGTGTGATTGATTACCTTGAAGTCCAGTAAAATCAGTTTCTGTAGCGTTAAATGAGTAAAAAAAAATATTCAAACTCATGAATCTCCGATCCTCAAAATGAGGGGATCAGAGGGGATTTGTCAAAAGGGCAAACTTCTGGGAAAGTTCAGCACCATGTGGATGAAATTGAGAGGCCTTTTTTTTTGTTGTTTATATCTTCGAAGTCAATTTTCCAGCTGGGTTTAAGAGAAAATCCAGCGTCATTGAGCTTCTTAAGCGACTATGATTGTTTGTCTTTTCTCTAAACCTTTAGTTGTAGTGAAGCTTGTGCCGTGTGTGAACAGAGTTTTGGCTGTTTACTGTGTTTGGGTTTTGATTATTAATAACTGACAAACATGGCCGGAGGGAAGCCAGTTCACTTTGGCTCAGTACAACTAGGTTTACTCAAAATTTATTGCCATGAACTTTGTACAATCATGATGCCCAGAGGATAAACCCCATCATAGTATGATATCCGCTTATGGCTCAGAAATTCAGCACACACATTAACAACCCTTTGGTCTCACCTTTCTCTGTGTCCATCTGCTTAAAACAGCCATGACGAGATAAAACCAAGACTTACCAAGGCAACAAATCTGGCACCAAATCAATCCTCACTATTTTCTATTATACTTTAAAAATAAAACCCTCAACCATCTGCAACTCTCCGTGCATGTGTGCAGGGTTCATACTCACGACCAAAGAGAGCTCCTGCCCTGTGTGATGACCCCTGTGAACTTTGTCAGCCTCCTGGCGTCTACCTCAAACCACTGCAGCGGGTCATCTCTCCCAGCGCACCAGGCGCCATCATAGAGGTCATCTTCATAAAGGCCAGCCTGGAGACCACAAAACAGCAGTGTGGAGCAGCTTTTTTTTTATTATTGTAGAAGCTCATGTAGAAACACCAAAGTTAAGCCCAAAGCTCTGAATTTTGTTAAACTTTTTGATTTGGTTCAAGCGTTGACTGTTGAGAGGATGCAGCTGACATTTTCAGATGAGAATCAACCAAGCAAGACAAATACTGTATGTCCTATAGGATGTCAGGGAGTGCACATTCACGCGCTGAAGAAGAATAACTACAGAGCAGAAAAGCTTCTCTTTGCATTAAGCCTGTGGCAGATTGTTCTAGCAGCAGAGGCTGAGTCTATGCGAAGAGTCACATGCTGACAGGACACATTGTACATCCTTTTCATCCCAATGTAAGCACTACGATGACACATAGTATATATAGTATATATATATATATACAGTGTGCACTGGGTGAATAATATCACTGCTGTAATGTGTGAATGTCAAGTGTATTTGGAGGACACCACTCTTGCTTGTCATTTAACAGCTTTTTATCTGGAGATCTTAAAAAAAACACATTAACATAATCTCTCTTCAAAGATTAGTTTAAGGCACTTTATGGAAATGCAGATTAGAATTCCTTGCAGAAATACCATAGATCTATAACAGATACAGCATGATGGTTAAGAACCGATACAGAATTACAACAAATATCACTGTACTTTGTTTTAATTTACTCTTCATAGCAGTAAGATTCAGATATGTTTGAGATAAACTGGGCTCTCAGAGATGCATCTATGAAACGAAACAGCACTATATGTACTTTGCCTTACAAACATAACAGAATCTATGAGATTAAATCATGTGTCTATAAAAGGATCAATTACAAAACTAAGTGGAGCGCTTCATTCTGATTGGTCAGAAGCATAGACTGTATATACTATGGACAACTTGGTTCTGCCCTCCGCCAGTGTACTTGAAGCTGAAAAGCTTGCGGCATTTATGCAATTTTTCTCCATTTCCACTCCACCACCACCAATGCATTGTACGCATTTGGCGGGAGAGTCGCGTATCCCCCAGGTGAGCTACGCAAACTTTGAAAAATTGATATTCTGTGTAATTAAGTTCTAAAATGTGTCCACCGCTCCATAAGCTTTGCTGGTGGAGGCAGGATTTATGACCTATACTGCAGCCCGTCACCAGAGGGTGCTGTTCTCTCTTCAGCACATTTAACATCTGCCTGTTGACACTGTGGCAAAATCCCTTTGAGACAGACAAAAGATTAAAATGAGGAAAAATCAGACTTAATGCTTACTGTTGTGTCTTTTAAGTTCAACTTCAATATGTATTTGAACATTCTGAATCAGATTTTGAGAGAATAGATGATTACTTCCAGGGTTAGCTAACTATGACTAAGAGTTCTTGTACTGTTGCTGTGTTTGAGTTACCTCGGAAATCAGATGTCGGAGCTAAAAATGACGTCATATCAGAGTTACCAGCGTTTCAGTTGCCAAGTCGCAAAAAAAAATAATTGGAGGCGGGAACAAGATGGCTACATCTATGAAAGACATGTCCGAATATAACAAGTACAAGGCAAGCGCTAAAATAATTTTCTTAGATGTGGCCATCTTGTTTCCATCTCCTGTCCTTGCTATATTCAGACAAAGTAACCACTAAAATAACTTTTGTAGATGTAGCCATCTTGTTTCCAGCTTTGATTTTGCTTTTTCCAACTTGGTAACTAAAATGCTTGTTACTCGGGTGTGACGTCATTTTCAGCTCCGACTTCCGAGGTAACTCAAATGCAGCGAGTATCCAAGCTTACATCCAAATATTGTATCTCAGTCAAAAGAGAGAGAAAAAAGTGGATAGTGACTGCCAGATGGATAGATTTTATAAGGTGTATAGTCCAAGATTTAAAGGGTAAGGTCATGGAGACAACATTCACTTTTTTAAGATGATCATTTGTTTAAATTTTGATACAAAGTACCAGAACAAAAATATCTGTAAACTTCGACTAATATTTGAAAAACCATGATCCAACCATAGTATTAACAAACTGCACAATAAAAACATAGTTCCTTTCAAGTAAAACATGATTACATTGTTATAATTGTCCAGGTTGACATCTGAATGATTTGTGAGATGTAGAAAAAAAAACAATAACCCCTGCCAAAGAGCTTCTGTTTTGTGTCTCCATGGTCTGTCAGTTTGCAGAACATCTCAAAAACATGTTTGAAGATTTCAGGGAAATATGTGGGAGGTTTGAATGTTGGACAATTTGGTGCCACTCCAAATCCAGGTGCAGAAATAAGACCTTTCATGAGCTGCCTGGTGAATTCAAAAGAATCTGACATGTGTTTCCAAAAAAATTAGCTACATGTTTTGCTGCAGGATAGACAGATATGATTTGTAACTTACACATATTTCTGTTATATTCTTAGCTGTGTTTAATCGAGAGAGTACGTGTGAACTTGAGTAAATCATGTCCTTCACTGAGTGGTGTGATCAAAAGAGGGTTAAATTCATCACAGTTGGAGTGTGGAGTCTAAACAAACTGCAGCAGCTACAAAAGTGGAAATAAACCAAGTTTGCTGGCTGTAGGCCTGATACAACAGGCAACATCTGCTTTCTATGTGTCTCCTCTGATTTACAGATAATTGCTCTCCAGATTGGACCTTATCGTTCTCCCTCTATGATCCCTGACAGACACTCGCATGCGCAACCAAACAACAAACCCTTTGTTTCGCTGGTTTCCTGAAACATAGTGTCTTGCTGTCCTGTGAGAATTAAGAGCATGTGTAGTGTTTCGTTAATTGTGCAGATAGATTCAGAGCGGTTCAGTCTGCAGAAGACGAGGCTGAGGCTAATAACCTCAAAGAACAGCTTGCACTAACAGGAAATTCCTCTTCTCCCAGATGTCAATCCCTTTTATTAGGTTTAGTTTGATGGAGAAACTATGACTTTCTCTATTATGTTAGCTTATGGGTGTTAAAATCTGCTCTGATTTGAAATAGAGTAATAATGCCTATCGCTGCAGACATCTTTCCATCGAGCTTAAATATGAACTTCTGGTGATTCTAAAATTAAAAGATGCTATCTCTTTAGAGTTTCGCTTCTACGTGTTAAAATGACTCCCCCCTCCGAAAACACGGACGCTTCAAAAGAAAAAAGAGGATAAAGTACAAGCCAGAACATTTTTAATAAGCGTTCCCAAGCTACGCCGCCACTTTACATACCTGAATGTTAAGTCGACCTCTGTGTGCACCGAGGCCGTAGCGTTTGATGGTTGAAGCGTGAAGCTGGAAATCATCAATCTTCAACGTCTCCAGTCCCATGGGAGGGCATTCTAGGTAAACGAGAATGATAAATTAGTCCTGTGATGGCAACCTTATGAAATATGTGTTGTATTGTTCCAGGAGTGCTTCTTTTCTGAGCAGCATATGTCTGCAGTGTCAGGGAGCATATGCTTGCTAATAGGTAGACTCAACAGTAATGAGCAGGTCAGACTCCAGCCCGAAAGTATTTAAGCAATCCAGGCAGCAGCAGCAGCTGTGTTTCATGTTCATCACCAGGATGATATAATTATAGGATCCCTTTATATCAAACCTAATGTAGTCAAAACATTGTGAGATGTTGAACTGGAATGTGACGGCTATGCTAGCAACAAATATCTGTGTTTATGTTTTATCAATTTGCTAGCAAACCAAAAACAACAATGACCCATCCACATTTTTTTCCTCTCAGTATGTCTTTTTTTCACTCTTACACAGCACACTTTGATCCTGAAAACAGGCAAATATAATAACCTGAGTGTGTAAACCTGACTGCATGAAAAGGCCTTCGTGAATGGGCGTGACGGCAGCTTTGATGTCTGAGCTGATGTGAATTCAAAACGTGTCAGTCAGTATGAGTGATTAATGAATGTACAGTATGAAAGCGTCTGTTTGGTAATTTTGGCACACCTTGCACAGTCAGCCAGCTGCACCCTGAGTTCATGATTAAAATGCTGAAATGACTGTGATATTATAATTAAAGGGAGAAAAAGGGAAAATTACAGGAACAGCAGCTGCAGACATTTTTTGGACAGTTTCTCGACAATGGAGACAAAGATTCAGATTTTTATTGTGCTAAGAATCGACTCATTGTGAGACCAAAAAAATCAAACAGTTTGTTAAATAGTCTGTTTCTTCTCAGATTACTTTTGGAAAAATGACTTAGACTTGAGAGTTATGCAGCGAGTCCTATAAAAAGTTTTAGACCATGTGGCTACCTCCTGTCTTGAGAAATGAAGCCGATGTAGAAGTGCTAAAAACTGCAGTTCCTAGTAGTGGAAGGCGGAACAAAGTTGTCCATAATACATACAGTCCATGCTCTTGACCAATAAGTGAAGCGCTCCACAATCCAATCAGAGTTCTCAAACTCCGATTCTAGTCGGACTAAGGTGTTTACATGCACTTCAGTTGTCTGGTCTTAATCGGAGTTTGAGACCTAGGGGCAATAATTCAGTTTTCTCGATTGTCATGTAAACGTACTGACTGACCAAAAATAAATATGTTTACATCTGGCTCAAAAAACAACTACAGTTTGAAAAGTTCGGGAAACCCACAGTATGGGAAGTGATTTCTTTGTAACATGTTCCTCTCAAAGTGATTTAGGGTACAAGATCAGTGAATCAGAACCACGGTTGAGTCAGGTTGAGTCAGCATTTCCAATATGGCCACCAACTGGCTTCAAAACTCTGCGTCAGACACAGACGGGTGATATCACCAAAGTTACATCCAGTAATCATGCAGTCTGAGGTGAAAACTTGAGACGCTATGAAACGACTCATTTCCTTGTCATTTTGCAACAGACTGGTGTCATCTACTTTTTTTTTTTTTACCTTTTTCCCCCTGTTCTAAGAATCTTTATTACCATCTCTTTGACTTAATGCTTATTTACTTTCGTTTTATGTGAGTTTTACGAAACATTGCTAACAGTTGCTTTTTTCCAGATTAAAATAATGTCAAACTGTGCTTTGCTATGAGATGCTATTTGCAATCTGTATAGTTTACATCCAGGTGGTAGAGCAGTAACAGGAGCTGGTGGAGAACGGTTGAGATATGCCAGCACCCATTGAGGTGACATTTTGTCTTCTCATCCCACAATCAGAGGAAATGAAGACACAATGCTCATATCGACATACAGGCAATCCTTTTTATTTGTGATGCAGACTTCCTGTAGTCTCCAAGGTCATATGGATATAACCCTGATGGCATCGCTGTGACCGTGAGGTCATGGGGGAGACATGGGCTATTTTCTCAGACCCATTTGCACCAGCTGGATAGCACTCCTTAAGCCTTGTAAAATGGCTGTTATGTACAAAAGACAGTGTTGCTGCTGGGCCGTGATGCATGAAGCAGTGTGTGTGTGACCTTCATGTCTCGCTGTGGGCAAGTGTTACAGTATGGCTTCATGTTTAGTCATGCAGAAATGATGCAGTGTAAATAACATACACACACACATCTCGACATTTTCTGTGATTCAAGCAAAGTCCTGGAACATTTCATTTTTAGAAATCGACCGAATCCTGGTTAATTCAACAACAAGCTCTTCTCTCTTTCTATGCCCACTAATCCTGACTGCTTTAACTACCAACATGAAAGAGAAGATTTTTGTTTTCCTTTATATTTTAGTTTTTTACTTAAGTTCCATCTCTAGCTGCGTTTACATGGGCACAAATAATCAGAATAAATGCCCGATCGGAATAAAAATGCGTCATGTAAACATGTCGATCAGAAGATTCTGATTCAATTCAGCTCAATCGGAAAGAAATTGTATTCCGATCAAGAGGGGTGGTTTATGCCGATCAATAATTCCGGGTCCATGTAAACACTTCCATGTAAACACTTATTCCGATCGTGACTCTTTAACCTGACATGATCTTCACTCTTTAGCCTTTGGCTTTTTTACTGAGGTCAGTACAGGAGGTTTCATTATTAACACTCTGGCATAAGACACAATCGCAGGTGCCGTGTCTACTCTTACGATAACATAACAAGGCGTACATACGGTGTAATGATGTCACATCTACAGAACAGTAAAATAAATATGCAAGGGCGCCATCTAGTGACATCATTTAACATGGGAAAAAATCTTTAATTGAATGGAGGGAGCCACTACTGCGTATGTTGGTTTGTTGACAGCACAGGCGTAAATACAAATCTTCTTTTGAGGGTGTTTTAGCGAAATTAGACAACTCTGCACAGGTCCAAATGCTTCTAATCTGAATAAAGATTGGCGCAGGATTATTTAATTTTGCACCCATAAAAACAGTGGATTCAGATTATCCGATCCCTCACATTTTCAATCGGATCAAGAAATTTTGCACATGTAAACATGGTTCCTGATCAGAAAAGAAGATAATCATAAGATAGGATTTTGGGTGACCATGTTAAATGTCTTTTATTGAAAGTGACCGAACTTTCAATATAAGGTTTTACTTCACCTTTACTAGTTAAGTATGTGTTTAAAAGTTGAATTTCTGAACCACTCTCTATTCAATCAATGTAAAATCTCCAAGTATTGTATTTAAAAGTAATCCCTACAGCCCAAATCAAAGGATAAGAGCTTTCTACGATACATGAGCGCCGCTATATCTCCACAGCAGCCCTTATGGTGGCAATTAACAGCACTCAATATGACTAATCGTCATGTAATTAACTCCTTGAGCATGCCAGTTATCCACTCACTCCCACTGAGGCCGTAGAAACAGTTTGGCAGTCATATCAACGCAATCTGTCTTTACTTTGGAAAAACACTGTCTCAAAAACAGAAAGCTGCACATAACTTTAAAATATTTTTATTTGCACTTGGAGAGACGTTCGAGATATTGGCACAAACACCTGCCTTTAAATGATTGCAGAAACAGAGAAGCGCTCACTGAACAACTCTTTTGTGTGAGATTGGCTCCTCTGGGTTACAGTCACCTGCTGAGGACAAAAGAGGCGAATCAAGGTTAATATGTGAAATCCCCGCTGCTGTTGGACAGCTCTCCGGGTCAGTCGCAGCTTTCCCTGATCACACCAATGGAAATTCAGAGCAAGAATTTCCTACTGGGGCCTCGGTGTGCAGCATATGCTTCACATGTCGCTGTCATGTAGCCAATTGCCTTCACAAGCGAATACCCAGAAAAGAAACAGACCGAAAGGACACAATGGAATTTTGGCCTTACGGGGTAAACATGTGAAGTTGAACATAAAGTTCTGCTGTAGAGTTTATATTCGATCCATAAAGGAAGCTGGCTTCACATAGAACAACTTTTTTATTGGCCTGATTTGTCTAAGATGCTGCGGATCATAAATCACAAGCGACAGAGTTTTTTAGAAAATCCAGACACAAAGATGATCCACATCCAAAAGCTGCACATGCATGAGACAATTTATGTTCAATGCATTATGAAAACAGCTCGAGACCAACTTAATTCACGCTGTAAAGTTGACGTGTAAAATATTATTTAATAAGCCAGCGGAGGAGCCAGTGGCGAGACCAGTGAGTGTAGTATACATTGTAACTCTGCGGCAATAAAACACATTTTGATATACCTGTGACACAATCTTGGAAGCGAACACCTTCTATAAGTCTGCAGGCTTTTGAGATCAGACTTTACAACCTTATAGCAGCAGACCGAATCAAGGTTAGCAGGACAAAAAAATAGACGCCGGCTCGCTGTGTTGCAAAGCACTAAATTACTATCAGCACCGCCATCTGCATGCAAGTCTCTCCGAGGGGACAAACAATAGCACAGAGCATCTGGCAACAGCAACAATGAACAATATAAAAAAATGGAAAAGCAGACAGTTGAGGCCTGATTTGTTGTAATTGAGGTAACTGACTTTTCCAAAAAACCAACACTGGGACCAAAAACATCATTAAAATACTTTCAGTGTGATTTAATTACATTACAAGAAGGAATGTCCTGAAAAAGTGAATATCCTGGACGTAAATTTAAACTAAGACCAACTGAAGGTAAGAAAACACTTAGAAAACAGTCAGTGCAGAGCTCAGTTTATTTACACAACTACACTAGGGCTCATGGAGTCTGCAGGTACATGCTGTCAGCCTTTGGGTCTCCCCAGGTCAAGTGGTTAATTTAACCAGACACAGCCTACGTACAACGTTATTTCTAGTTTCTACAGGATGCTTTAATCTGTGCTCATGTACATCAGGGTGGTAGAGGATAATTGTAGGGTGACCATACATCTCCTTTTACCCAGGCATGTCCTGTTTTTGGGGGGCTGTCCAGGCTGTCCGGGAAGTTAATAAAATCCTTCAAATGTCCGCCAAGTTTCGATTTTGTGTCACATGGACTTACTGAGTTAGAAGCGCGTAAAAGACACTCGATCCAACCCGAAAAACTCTCAAAATTAACTTTGTGCGACTCTGTGACTCCGCCCCTGTGAAGTCGTGTCATCTTTTGAGGAAGTCTGAATATGGTCAAAAGAAAATGTCTGTCATTATACTGGATAAGAAAGGGGTAAGGTTTACTGATTCTGTATTCACCTTTTCATTTGAAAGATTATGATTTTTTTTGGTCTTTGAAAGCTTTAGTTTTAATCCTTATGAAAGAAATATCTTGAAACAGATAGAGCGTCATCCAAAATCCACCATATTTATTTTATCTAAACCTTATGGCCTTCAGAAGCTCAGAAAGCACCTTAGTTTCTGCAGCTTGGCTTTGCACACATAGACATCTTGTTTCAACAAGTTCCCCTTTGCGTCTGATAGGAATAATAGATGAGCTGTTGAAACATCTGCTGGATCAAACTTAAAAACGCATTAAAATCCACTTAAATGAATTCCCCGTAGTTTTGGTATTTGTGTACGTGGTAGAAACTGTAATTTCTCTGAAATCTAGATGAATGGTTGGGAATTTAGAGGCTGGGTTAACTCTCAAGTGCCCCAAATACAGACAACTACAGTCCTTAACACACTAGCTAAAGGTTCGATTTCTAAACAATGACTTTATCTGAGGCAAAATCTCAAAGAATAAGCAAAAATTGGAGGCTTAACTATTTCTGTTGCTTAGTGACAAAGTTTTCTTTGTAGGAAAAAAGTGTATAATTTTGACATTGTTGAATCCTGCTCAGTTTTTCCCTGTTAAATCAGCAGCTATCATGAGACACCAAACCAATATTTAAAACCAGCCTGGTGCTGAATCACAGTTACAGCCTTACAAACATGAATCTGGGAGTGACAGTCATCCAGGTTTTGACTGTGTGGGCTCCTTTATGCCAGGCAATGTCAGCATGGACTTCCCATTTTCCAACATGGAAGGATGTCCAACTTTATGCTACTGTCCCCTTGTGCCAAATTACAAATGGCACCCTCTCTGTCTGTCTGTCTTTCTCAGAAAGTTCCCTTAAAACAGCTTTTATATAAACACATAAATTCACAGCTGGAAAATACAACGACTCATAACCTTTCAGCGTTATGAAACACAGCTTTCCGTTATGCTAGAAATGTCTGTCACTGTGTAAATAACTCTAATAAATACTATAAAGCTGTGTGAAGCTTAAGGTCAAATCATGAGAGTTTAGCCCCGAGTCATGATTTCAGTCAAGCAAGTTTAATCTGTCTTCGACATGACGGTAAAACCACTGGGGCATCCTGGCTTCAGTTTAGCAAATAAACTGTGATCTGTGGATCAAAACAAAGCGCTTCACAGGCAAGGGAGACGTCGTTACCGCTGTGGCTCGACTCCGCTCTGAGAGGATCATTTTATTTTGCCAGACCTTTCCCCTCAGGGCAAGTATCCTGTCTCAAAACTCTTCCTCTTTTCAAAATATTTGGCATCTTTGACAGACTTGATTTCTTTTTTCCCATCATAAAAGCTCCCAGAAAAGCAGAGAAATTATCCTTGTGTATAGTGCAGGAAAGGATGAATTTCCCATAACAAGTAAGAGGGACACTGGCGCCTCGACTCACCCTCTTTTACCAGGTTGACTTGTCCTTCTGCTTCTGGGATGCTGTTTGGAGTTTTCAAGGTGCTCTTCTTGCTCTTTTCAGTCTTTTTGTTGGCAGTTTTCACTGAGGAAAGAAAAAACAATATTACAGTAACGGAAATAAATCTTTCTTGATTTATTAAAAGGCTTTGGCAAGCCAAATCACCTTAAAAGCTACTGATTCCTCGTTGTCAACATAAAAAGGGAAAAGCTCTGGTGTTGACAAAGAAGAAAAGGCTTTGGTTGGACTCAATCCTGCACATGTGGATGGATTCAGGGCTGGGCACTGAACCAAGAGACGATCTTTGCTGCAGACTTTTGAGAATATTAACTCCTGTGCACCTTGCCATGATCCATTTGCACCCTTATGTCTTTAATGCCGTAATACCAATTATAAGATAACGGCTGTAAGGTTCAAATCAGTCATGGACAGACCCTTTCTCTGAAACATGATGGGGGGGGAGAGGTCACATTGCAGAGACTGAACATGGAAGTGAAGTGTGCGCTTTTTATTTGACTGACTGCCGGGTCAGGAAAGGGCCCATGTGATAACAATCCTTCTCACATCTGAAAGTCTTTATCCTTGTCTCAGTCCGGGGACAGCTGAAATCCTCAACAATGCTCTGAGCTGTGCATGTGGCTCAGCATAACGGACATTGAGAGCTTAGTCACTGTTGACATCTGAGCTCTGCTCTGAGTACTCTGGCAGAATTAGTACAAGTGAGGGAAAAAAAAACACGTCCTATTAATCAATTTTTAAGAGTTAGTTCAAATCAAACACGATTCATGATGTACAAATCAAAAATACAACATTTGAGACAAAATCATTTTTAGTGTCATGGTTCTCGTGGGGAAAATCAAGCGCAATGACCGTGAAGGAATTTGAGCTTTCGCCATTAAAGACAGTAAAAAAACAAAAACAAATGAAAGCTTTTGTAACTCCATGGTCTATCTTTCTTCTCCAATTCTCAAAATAATAAGCTTTCATAACAGTCAAGTCAAGTTTATTTATAAAGCACCTTTAAGAAGATAGCAGTCAAACAAAGGGATACATGGGATAAATAAAAGAAGTTAATAAATAGATAACAATAAACAACAAAATTATAAACAGTAACAGGAATAAAATACAGACAGTAAAAGAATAAAAGCTACAGTGCCCAATGTCAAGTTTTTACTGCTCAAGTAGATCCAACATAACACTTTTTCTTAAATATTTGTAAAATCTAAAGAGAAATATTTATTGTTTCATTACGAAGAAGTGGTGCCAATTCATTGTTTTCCTATTAAACAATAATGCTGATCTACAAATTACAAAACGGTACATCAAATCTACCCAAAACAGTATGAATCGAATTTGGTTAGTCTTTTCTATTTGTCACTTTTATTCATTTTTGACTAGTAACATCTCAACAAAAAGCTTTGCCAATGCTCAACAAAAACAGCACATGAGCAACAGACACATTTTTACAGTCTCATTTCTTGAAATGAAATGATTCTCCTCTTCGTTGAGCTTTGTTTTGTTCTCGATATACAAAAAAAGTTCGCCCTAGCTCCTGAAAATAAGCTTTTTACACGATAAATGCTGAATTTGTTTTTCCACTTCACTTTTAAATAACTTGTCTGACGCCTCTGAAAATTACACTAATGAGAGTGAAGAGTGAACCAGTCCAAAACAGAAATATTGCTAAGAGTAGCTTTATGTGAAGATCTGTTTGTATCCAGTCATATTGTAAGACGTTGGTTTTGTTCTTTAATTATAATGTTTATGATACTAACAGCTCCAAAGGTTTCTATTCATAAAAGATGACTACCTTTAAGAGAAGCAGAGTTTATCTTGTTTTATATGATGCAGTGTGATGGAGGTGAAAGAAAAACTCCCTTCAAAGAGAAGCCGTGTCTCTCATTGTTATCATATCCCTCCTCTTTAACCACCTACAGCAGGTATCTCTGCTGAGACACGTGTATCCAGATGCCTGAAAAATGAGGTCACTGTGGGCACAGCTGCTCTAAATGATCGGCCACCAACCAACCAAATTCCCTCTAGTCTGCTGCTGTCCTCCAATCACCTGGCAGGATGGCAAACATACCTACAAACCTGCTTCTGCATGTGCAGAGAGTCCCACACAGAGCTGCGCGTTGGTGAAATGTGGATTTCACGTGTTTCTGGCTCCAACATGTAATGCAGTCCTGACCTCTGCTGTGTGAGGCTGTTAGTCCTGCTGTTCTGCAGGAGCTACACTGAAACATACCTCAGATCTATGCATGCGGGGGGACAGAGGAGGTGGACTACCTACAGAGGTCCTTGTTTTTTTCTCCTTTCTTTGATCATTTTTATTGTTTTTTGTTTTCCTTTTTTGCGCATCTTTGTAGCTCGAATTCTCGCTTTGAACTTCTCAAACAGCTTAAGGTCACGGGGCAGGTTAGATGACTTTGAGAAAATTAAACTCCCTGTTTACAACTTTGATCTCAAGCCTTATTTGTTAACAATTTCACTTGAAAGCATCATCTGAGGGAGTAAGTCGCAGGACCGGGTGTTATTTTTCATAACATATCCGTGCCAGTCTTTAACTTCAAAGCACATCGTTACGTTTTTTACATAATTACAACGTTGCCATGTTTCTATTATTTACAAATTTACTAAAACTTCAAAAGCTTAAATGATAAGCCAAAACCTTTCATCTTGTGGGAAAAAAAGAGACTTTTAAGGTTACTTCAAAAGTTTCCTGAAGTTTCAAAGCCTGAATTGTAGTCAAACAAACTTTTACTGACAAACTGAGAACTTTTTAAAAAAGGAGAAAACATGACTGATCACTTCTGGCAGTGAAAATGATACTTTTGTGAAGGATTTATAAGAAGAATAAAATTTTACTGCTGTTTGCAAAAGAAAGGCTCCCACTGAAAGTGTGAGAAAAGCCAAAGTAAATCAAACTGATGGCAGTCCATTTACCTGATTTCTCATCAGCTGGGGTTTTGTCTGTCTGCCTGCTGCTCTCTGCCTTCCCCTTGGGCACTTTCTTGCCAGAGTTCTGGCTAGGGTGCTCATGCCTGTCAGGTATCGAGGCCACAGGCTTTTCCAAGGTTTGCACCTGGTTATCCTGATCTCTTGTCAGCAGCTCCTGCATATAATAATCCTCATCCTCAACAGCAGAGCTAAAGCCGAGGTCTGCAAGCCACACGAGGAGTCCCAGCAGAGCCAGGAGGGTTAGGACTCTGAGGCGCTGTCTTGTCATGACCCTGGGGGAGATTATCTCCAGCTGAGAGTCCCGATGGAGTCTCCAGAGGAGCCTGCTGCTGCTGCCGGGCTGTGTCCCATCAAATGCTCCCCTTCCTCTGCCTTTCTCGCTCCAACACAGAGAGTTCAAAAAGTTCTCAGAGCGCTCCAAGTCCCTGACGAAAGCAGCGGAGCCAGAGGGTCCATGGACGCCTCAGCCTGGGAAAAATGCAGTGAGGGAGGGAGAAACTCAGAGCGGGAGATGAGGGAAGAGGCAGGGAGACAGACAGCACAGTTTTCTCATTTAGATGCTGGCAGGTGACTCAGAAAGAAGTGTTTTTTTTTTCTCCTCTTTTAAATTCAAACCAGTCCAGGCTGCTGACACAAAGCAGAGTCATTTATTGGTGTGGGTAGAAGTAAAAAAAGGATATAAACCTTTCTGAGAAACGTACATTGACACATTCAGGCTCTGCTTTCAAATCCATCTCCTCCCACTCCGTCTGGGGCAGACGCAGATTTGACCGGAGGAAAGTTTTAACTCGAGGGAATCAATTTAGTGTCTTTCTTAACCAGTTAGTCATTCTCTGTGTGAAGCAAAGACGAGCTTGTTGAGCCATGAGGGGACAGAATATCCTGTTTGTTCAAATCCTTGAACAAACAGTAGCAGCTGAGCGTCTTTATCAGTCTTAACCATCAACCAAACTGGGTCTAGCACTGTTAAGAGTTTGTTAAAAGTGCATTTACAGCCTTAAATATGAGATAACAACTATAAAATACCACCGGGAAAGATAATTACCTTCTTGCTTTACACTTTCTCATTAACTCAGACTCGTCTCCTTTCAGCCAAGACCTGTTTGGATTCTTCGGTAATTCACACATTAATTTCGCCGAACAAACTCTGTGGAAGGTCCGGGCGCATTCCAGCGAGTGTCACAGCTCATCACATCAGCGCTCTGTTCCTCATAAGTCTCTTTCTTTTATTTTCTCCCTCCCTCTCTCTTTTTTGAGCACATGCACATAGTTATAGCCGCAGCAGCCTCACTTTAATAAGACAATATCGAATCGCAAAAAGCCAGCCTTCAAACTGTCAAACCCCCGCGATTAAAACCATATTTTGTCAGCTACAAAGATTTATCTTTAAGGGAAAAAAAAAGGTAAAGGTTTCATTACAATGTGTTATCTCTGGCATTTAAGAAGCATTTGGTGTTATTGCTAAGCAGAGAAAAGTCTCGCCTTGGGCTTAAAAGATTTAGTCATAAGAAGAAGTGGAGATTTCATGGTGCATTCGCACAACTAATAAGAACAGCTTCTGACATTTCATCGACCTGAGGCAAACTAAAGCAAAGGTAATAATCCCTAAACAAGCCCTGCGCCCTGCCTGGACACTACCCAATTTAAATGCACTGGTTCATTACACTTAACTGATGTGGAAAGACATAGCATAGAGAATAGTCCAAAAGAGGCTGTATGGAAATCACACCTGAGAGTGAGAGAGAGCTTCTTAACAGTGGCTGAGGCTGCAGGCTAATCACTGAAGAACAGGATCTGAAGTAGGCGGACAGCTCGTGGCAGGAAGAGTCTACGCTCAACTGGCTGGCACGGTCGTTTGCCAGCGAAGCAGGCATTCACTGTGTACCCACTCTTCATCCAGACTACACCCATGTTAAACTGTCTGAAAGGAAGAAGGAGGGAAGAAACGGAAGGAGGGATAAGACACAGAAGGGCTGCCAAGAGAGATGTAGCATTTATACCTCAAAGGCTTTTAGGACATGTAACATCCTCCCTCCCTGCGCACCTTCACACAACCGTTGCTCTCAGAAAGTCAGGTTTCTCTCGTGCTTTTAAAGACAGGTTTGCATTACAGGAGCGATTACAATAAGGCATGGTTGAAATTTAACACAAACTCTAAACTAGGGGAGTCCCTACAGATACCTGTGTTTAGAGTAGGGGTGAAGTCAGATATCAGATATCTCCTATATCAGCAAAAAAACAATATCTAGATTATATCGGCATACATCTAAAATCTCTGATATCAGCACTCCGATAAGTAGTCCATTCCAGACTCCACTCTGGCACCTCTATCTAGCAGCGCCCGGATCCATCATGCAGATTCCACGTACTCACAACAACAGTGTGTACTGAGGTACAAACAAAGTAGCAAGGAGTAGAAGTGATGTAGGCCATGTAGCAGAATTTTTCGTTAAAGTCTGAAAAAGATCTTGCAGCTGAGCGCCGAACTTGTCATGCACAAGTTTGTACCAATATCAGATCAATATCAGTTTCGGCCAATACTGAAGGCAACAATATCGGTATCATATCGGGACACCCCTACTCTAAACACAGGTATCTGTTCACTAACATAAAAGGCTGTGCATGCAGTGTAAGATGCTTAATGTAGGGCTATAGAGCGCATGGATGCAGGCGATGTTACTAAACTCTGATATCCAAATAAGTAATGATGTTTACATTCACAAAACTAACCAATGTGCAGCCAAGAGCGTGTAAAATCTTCTTCAACTGGGGCGCTGATAAAGAGGAGGCACCTAGTCTGTGGGAATATAATTCATTAACCCTTTTGGTAACAGTTTATTTGATGTCTATCTCTATAACGCATTATAAACATACGTATAATGCGTATAATCACATTATAACACTGTATATCTATAGTTATAAACACTCATAAATGATCATAATGCTTTATAGCAATAATAATAACACAAAGTATTTTATCATGACTTACAAGGTCAGGTATTATAATGTGTTATAATTGTAAACAACAGTTGCATTGCATTATCTATATGGGCATTGTCAAGGACTTGATATCAGTTATAACACATTGTAATACCTGACCTTGTAAGTCATGATAAAATGCTTTATAATGTTTTATGATTATAGCTATAAAGCATTATGATCATTTATGAGTGTTTATAACTGTAGTTATACAGTGCTTTAACATGATTATAACACATTATACATATATTTATAATGCATTATAGGGATAGGCCTCAAATTAAGTGTTACCATCCTCTCTGTCCCCACTAATCTTATCCATTTCAACTCCCTAACATCAAAGTATCACACAGATGATGTGATCCAGAGCAGCAACATTAAAAACACTTTCTTTAAAAGTTCAAAAAGAGTTTGTCTTGATTCATACCTGGAGGACAAATCATCTTAATACATTTCCAAATGCTGTTGGATCATGTCTCACAAGCCATATTTAATGAACAACCTTCCCCCATCATAAATATATCTTTATCCAGACTTATAAACAAACAATCCTGAGGACAAAAGGTGCAAACATCACATTTCTCATAGGACGTGTTGGACCCTCCTCTCTCTCTGTGTTTGATGAATTTTTCCGCTGACTTTTACCGTTGTGAATTTCCTCGAGCTTAATTAATCCTTCATACTGCTGATTAGAGGGAGAAACCTTGAGTTTAAAGTAAATGACTTTCATAGGTTTAATGTATTGAAGGTAAAAGGCTACCAAGACACAGTCCAAATTAATCTAGGCATGACATGACTTCCTAAGCGTGCTGTCTGAGCCAGCCTGAATGTCCGCATTAAAATACCTGCTACAGCCTGAAACGGGCTTATCAAACTGTCACTTATCACACAGTATAGCCGAGCAGCTTAAGGCAAGGGTGTTGTGACAATGGCTGTCTTCCTCGGTTGAGGAGCACCCAAGAAGGGAGAGTGATGGCTGCTGCCTCTCTCTATAATCTCCTGAAGGGGGTGAGGGTGTCCCTGGCTGAATTCTCATTAATTGGATGTCAGTGCCAAGAGTGACAGGTAAGAGGCTCTCTAAAAAATACCTCCCTGCTGCTGCTGCTGCTGCTTTGGCACCTTGTAATTGATGAAAAAGGGAGGCTGGTGACAGAATCTGAAGGTGGGAATAATAATGTAAAGGGATTGTAACGTTTTGTGTTCAGCGGGACATGACACACTTACACTTTCCCTGACGAAACAACGTGAAATACGTGACAAAGACATGCAAAAGTAAATCACACAATACATATCTTCCAATGGAACAACAATGTTTGTTTGCTTTTTGCATAAGAAGGGACTGTGATAAATGTGAATGCTCACAAACTGTGTATACACACATCCGAAAATGTGAATGCAAAACCATTTTGTGATCATCCATCAAACGAAACCTTGGGTGTTTTGTTGAAGCGGCTTTCGGCCAATATTTCTAATGAATTCTGATGTGTAGAGTTCACTGAGGACAAACAGATTCGCCACTTACTTATTTATGTATTTATCACCGCCGAAATGTAATGTGGCACTTTTATTTACCCAAAACTCACAATGCCGCAACCTTGTATCCTCTATTCTACGGCGTAGACTTTTTATAATGGATGAACTCCTGGCTTTATTGATATTCAGACGAGTGGGGATCCTAAATTTGCAAACTAAATCTTGGTTCACCTTAAACTGAAAGACAAGTGGATTGACATTGAGGGCTGTTAGTGTTTGAATTTTAGGTAGGGCGACTTAAATCTAATAGACAAGACGAAAAGAGAATTAGAGCCAGCTTCATTTTTCCTCCTCGAGTTGTATTTGGAGACTTGAACAGCCTGTCAGCACACATTAATATAAATGTTATTTTTAAAAAATGCAAGAAAAATACATCTTTTTCTGTTTAGTTCTGGTTGGATACACTTCCAAACTTCGCTTAATTGAGGCTGTGAACATTTTCAGCGACGATAAGAGGAGGAGGTAAAAAGGCTGTCGGCGTTGGATCTCTGCAATATTTCCCCTGTGTCCATGGAAACTGTGAAACATAGTGATGGTCAATTTGCGAGGCCGACACACATGCAGAGCAGTGTGCCTTGAGTCTAGAGGGCTGTGTCAGCTTATGTTTGCCTTGTGTACTTCTTAGAGCACATGAATCACATCGGCTTTGTCAGACGAGAGAAAGATACAAGGCGTTTTTCCCTCTGTGGTTATGGTTGTATATCAAATACTGTAACTCCTTTAAAGTTGCAGGATCAAACCAGATTACAGAGTCATATTTCTTCACATTTAGCAGTTATATTTCTCAGCACCTTATTTCACATTTTAGTCATTGGTTTTTGTTAGTGTAGCTGTTGTTGAGCAGTTTTAGCACTCCCCTGGATGTACCTTTCTCTGTACTGCACTAGTAGTGTTTAGTGTTCAGGTGCAGTGGAATTGTGGGGAAAATGCAAATGCTCATGTGCACTTTTTAATATCAAGTTTTTATTTTTCATTTTATCTTATTTTTATATTTTTTAAAGGCTTTGCTGTTTTTTTTTTAATGCAAAACAGGAGCAGTACATTTGTCATCCTTTTTTTAAAATGGCAAAACTCAATATTGTCAGACCAGCAATCCATGAAGTGACTGAATATATGCCAAATAATAATAATTATTACAATAATAATAATGATGCATAAGGTTTTTATAGCGCTTTATCGGAGACACTCAAAGTGCTTTACATCATTCATTCGCTC